ATAGGTGAAGAAGGAGAGAACAAACAAAAAGTAATACGTGGGAGACATTGATAAGAAGCAATGTAACATTTGGGGAACTGTAACAGTCTAAGGTGAAGAGTGTGGGCCAAGGGCTGTAGGAGGACCAGGGCAAGGACTGAGGGTAGGAGCTGGTACATTGGTTTCCTAGAAGCCTCATTTTAGCACATAACCTACAGATTAGATAGAGGGAAGACCATTAGCTTCCATCCTTAATCCAGACGGTTGTAGTTTAAATTCACACATGGTGCTGGGACAAGAGTTGCTGTACTCATCAGCTGTAAGATGTACTTTTCTTCCTCCATATTTTAGGGTTTCTGGAACCTGGATGCTTCTGAAAGTCTATGGCGGGTCACAGTGAAACATGGCAACATTTCATTTCCCTCCCTCCCTCCTTTCCTTCTTCCTTTCTTCTCTTTTATATTCAACGTTATCATTATTTCACAAACCCTGTGCCAAGGACTGACTGCTAATAGATCACAGTAAGGGAGCTGCTGTGCTCAAGGGATCTCTGACCCGGAAGCAGTCACCCAGGGATGGTTTAGCACCAGGTTCCTAGTAATATGCATCGCAAAATGCACAAGATAGGAACTTATCCACCTTATGCACCTGAAAGAAGGGCTTGTGTACTTCTGAAGTTATCAGTCCTCAAACATGGGGAGTTTTGGTGCTGTAGATATGAAGATATAAATACTGTCTAGTGAACACTTATCCTACTAAGCGTATCCTTTGTGCCTCATTTAATTTTCACATACTTCCTGCCCCCCAGGATGGGGGATGTAGTATTCCTAACGTACAGTAGGGGCATTTGTTCCGACTCAGAAACTGGCCTATGGTTATACAGATAAATAGTAGAGGTTGGGTTAAAAAACAGCTCTCTTTGATTCAAGTCCAATCATAACCTTAATTATATTTTGAACCAATAAGATAGTCCTAGAGAATCCCCGTGTAGAGCTATAAAGAAATTACATTACATAGAGATAGACTGAGATGTATATATAGGATACTATGAGAATGGCTCACTTGAAAGTTTAGTGATCAGCATGCAGAGAAGGTGTAACCCGACCCAGAGAAATTAGTTCCCCTGACATGACACAGCTCATAAGCAATTGAGCGTGGGTCTCTGGCTTTAAGGCCCACGTGCAAACCTTGTGTACAGAAGACAGGGTTTCTTTCTCCCCTTGAGGAACAGGAGCTGAGCAGGAAGTAGAAATTAAACTTCTGTAGTCTTAAGCTTCATTTGATTTGATGGATCACTCCATACTTGAAAGCTTTTTCTTTGTTTTGGTTTGGAATATTATGACATCTGACTTCTGTTCTATTTCACTGGCTGCACCTTCTCTGCATCCTCATTCTCTTCATAATACACTTTGGGGCCAAGATCTCAGCCCTCTTCTTTTTCTTTCTACGGTTCTTTAATCTATTCCCAAGGCTTTAAATCCCATCCAAGTGCTGCTGACTATGTACATGTCTCCTGATCGATCCCCAAGTGACACACACTTGTTTATCCAGCAGCCTTACTTGACATTTCTACTTTTAATCACACTTATTACACATTCAAGTGTCCACCACTAGACTCTTGAGTTCCCTTCAAACACCTGTTCCACTCCCATAACCGATTATCAAATCTGAGCTCTGCCTTCAGAATACATCCCGAGTCTGACTGCTTCTCACCACCATCATTCCTGTCCCCTGAGTCCAAGCTACCAGCATCTCTAACCTGGACTAATGCATTGATCCAAGCCTGCCTCTCCCTTAGGTGTCTACCAACCTTTGATCTGTGTGCAGAGACTGTCAGCATCACCTTTTAACGCAGTGTAGAAATACCCACGAGTTTCTCACTATGCTCAGCATAAGATCCAGGTCTCCTGCTAAGGTTCCGGGTGATCTACCACTCTCAGTACTCCCATATTCCTGCTGCACCCACCTTGCCTTCTCCCCAAGCTCCTCCTGTGCCAGCACCTCTACATCTGCTTGGAATATTGTCTCTCAGATCTTCCCAAGGTTTGTGTCTTAACACTTGGGTTCTTGCTCAAATCTCTTCTCTGATTACCTGTGGGTCATAGATTAACTTAAAGTAGTTTAACCTGAGGTAACCCCAGGCTCTGTACGCTCTATGAGGCCATATGATTGTTTGTTGTGGAGGAAGTCTTACATATGCATTGTGTTTAAGGTAATGAATGCAGAACTGTAATCTCAGTGGAATGCTGCTGGGACAACATGAGATGTTTGCTAAGATGTCTGACGGAATGGTAAACATGAAGGCTGGGTACAGCTAGGGATGGTCCCTCGATAGTTAAACAATTAAGTTCTCACCCACCTGTACTTTACCCTTCCCATCTCCCACTTCTGCCTTTTGTAAAGAGAAGACTAATACCCAGAAGAAAAAAACTGACTGAGGTTTTAGTCTTAGAGACTGTGTGTCCCACTATCCCATAACTTTGTTTCTCTCTTGTTTTCTTTTCATCCACTGAACCTCGTCTTCAGGACCTGTTTTCTCATAAAAACCAACGATTACCCTGTCAGAAATACCTGCTCTTCTCACCCCAGAAAAACTTTGGATTTTGTTTTCATAACACTTACTATAGCAGAGATGACTTGATTTTCTCTTTTCTCTCCATATTTACAGTACTAGGGATTGAACTCACTACCTTGTGCTTACTAGGCAAGTGCTTAAGCCACTGAGCTAAATCCCTGGCCCAAAAAGTTCTTCATTTTTTTTGTTTTGTTGTTTTGGATACTGGGAATTGAACTCAAGACCTTGTGTTTTCCAGGCACATGCTTTGTGACACTGAGCTGTATCCCTGGTCCCCCATATCTCCATATTTAAATTGAAGCTCTAGCACAGAAATCATATCTGTCCTATGCACTGCTGCATCCCTGGCAGCTAATGGAGGGCCTGGCACATAGCAGGTTGTGCAGTAATGAGCCAGTGGACAGTTGGAGCTCTGCATTTTTATCTGAAAAGAATCTAACTGCACACAGTTACAGAATAGAATATGAGCATGCGTGTGGTTTAATACTTTCCAAGGGTCACATGAACGAAGTGAAAAGAGGTGACATCAATAATACATTTTGTCTAAGCCAATGTAGCCAACATATTGGCATTTCTTTTTTTTTTTTTTTTTTTTTTTTTGTCTTTTTCGTTTTTATCGGTACCAGGGATCGAACTCACGACTGCCTGCTTGCAAGGCAGGTCCTTATGCCGCTGAGCTAAATCCCCAGCCCCAACATATTGGTATTTCAACAGATAATACTAAAAATATTGTGCATACTCCTTTTTTAAACCAAGAATTCAAATTCTGGTGTGTATTTTATAATTGGAGCCCTTCTGAATTCAGACTGGCCCCGTGTCCAGTGCTCCACACCACGTACCTAACCTCACTGTTCTTGTCCTCTATTTTTGGAGAATTCTGAGGGGCAAGAAGGGAGAAACTTATGGCAGGGAAACAGGGTCTTTCTCAGCTGCCCATTTCCCTTCCCTCACCCAAAAGAATGTTTTCATTTGTAAATAACTGGTCATATCCTTAGAAGAAAGATGATGGCAACTGAGCTATTGCACGCCAAACACTTCCTGTAATCTCATTTAATTGGTCACAACAGTCCCATTGTACAGTTGCAGAAACAGGTTCAGATAAGCAGGATAACTTGCCCAAATGTACACGGATAGTGTTAGAGCCGGAACACACTGCTGGCTTAATATTAAAGGAGATATATTATAAGCATTATGCTAAAAACTATGGCATACAAGGCAGTGAGTTCAATCCCTAGTACTGTAAATATGGAGAGAAAACAGTTTTTTAGCAAAACAGAGAAATGGAGAGAAGCGCTAAATGACAGAGAAGACTTGGCCTGACTCTTGGGCTTAGTTTTGTGTTACACCTTTACCTCTATCTAGTTCTCCTCTTTAGTTTCCTAGTATCCTAGATCTGACTTTAGTGTTAGACTATTTCTAGGTCTCAGCTCTGCTAATTTATTTTGTATTGTATTTATACATTTATTTTTGTGCTGGAAATTGAACTCAGGGCTTTGTGTATGTCAGACAAATGCTCTACCACTGAGCCACACCTTCAGTCCAGCCCCAGAAGTTATTAATGCTGTATTTATCAGCAGAATGAATTACCTTATACATTGTTTCCTCCTCTGCGGAGAGAAATACTGCAACCAACCTCAGGACCAAAGATCCAGTGAGGTGAGGATGGTGTCTCAGAGCAGCTAAGCACAGAGCTGGCTGCCTGGTGGCCTTTCGGGGTGTGACAGGTCCTGTAGTCCTTCCCTTACTGACTGCAAAGTGTCTTCTGCTCCTAGTTTCATTCCTGCCCTGAGCACACTGCACTGTGGTGTTCTAGGGTTCTAGGTGCTGTCTTTAGCCATAGGGTAGGCTGGCGCCGGACAGGAGGAGAGGGTGGGGCTATCTCAAAACTGGCCTCTGAGGTCCTACTCCAAACCAGGCAGTTTCTTTCCATAGTACACTGTCTACCTGATTGCCAAGTACAGACGCTTGTGGGATGCTCTTATTTCCTCCCTCAGCCCAACTCTCGCCTTGAAATCCCATTTGACACTGGCCACTTCCCACCCCCTTGGTCCCAGTCTTCCTGCCTGTCAGGAAGCAGCACAGATCTCCCCCGCCCCCAGTGGCTGCAAGTGACCTTTCTGAAACAGCTGGAACAGGTCCCAATTTAGCAGTGTCTTCAGGATCCTCATTATGGTAGCCATCGTTGATTTCCTATTGTTCTCTTTTGGAGTCCTGTATCGCTTTCATTGTTTTGTTTTGACTGGCTTTATTCTGTTTTAATTTGTTTGGTTTTTATCCTCTTCAAAATAAAATTTAAAAAGTTTTTTTTTAATCTTCAGGATTGATTCTGCGCAGATTCTTGGTTTTTCATCCCTCTGACAAGGGTTACTATGAACCATTCTTACAGGCACGAGGCACAGCAGCGAGCCTGCTATTCTAGGGGCGTCTCAGGCGTGGACCTCAGTCTGGCTGTACGGCTCACCTCGCACGCCAGCGCCAGCTACCTGCACAGGCCCTGAGTTGGCACCGCGAACCCCTCCAGCGCGTCACCGTGGAGACCACAGCTCTCTCCCTGAGGCTCCTCTGTGGCTCGAGCCCTCGGGCGTCCCTCAAAGAAGAGGCTCGGTGACCTCAGCCGCAGCCCGCAGCCCCTCCCCACCCCCAGGATTGTGAGCTAAGAGCCAGCGGTGAGCCTGGCTCAGCCAAAGGCGGCGCGCCCTGGTCTGCGCCGGTTCCCCCACCGCACAGGCGGCTAGGGAGGAGTGCAGCCGTCCAGCCCAGGAATGCCTTGTCCCCAGGTGAGCTGCAGGAAGGGCGCGGGCGGAGGGAGGAAGGGAGTGTAGCTGGGGCGGCTGTGCCCCTGTGAGCCCAGTGCACTCCTGGCGGCTGGGACAAACGCTTATCCAACATAAGGCCATCTCCTCGCATTCTGCCTCTCCTGCCAGACTCTAGCTTCTTGGGAGTGCCCCTTGCGTCTTATTCTTCCCTCTGTCCCCAAAAATATGCAGGGCCTGTCACAGGGCAGGCAGAGGAAAAAATTAAAGTAGAAAGATCCTGGGTCTGGTGACGAAAGCCTATAATCCCAGAGCTTGGGAGGCTGAGGCAGGAGGACTGCAAGTTCAAGGCCAGCTTGGACTACACAGTGAGACCTTGTCTCAAAAGAAAAAGAAAAAAATAATATGAGAGAGATGACAAAAAGGTGCTGGTGTGTTGGAAGGGCTGGGGTGCTGAGCAGTTCATCTAAGGAAGTCACACTGAACAGGGCTAGAAGCTGGTAGAGAAGATTTAGTGCAGGACTGGGGATGTAGATTGGGGTGGAGTGCTTGCCTAGCATTCAGGAGGCCCTGAGTGCGACTGACATGGATCATCTTCTATTGTAGGTATCATGCTGGGCACAGGGGACCCCAGTTTGCACTCATGCATCCACCGTACCAAAGAAGGAAGACAAGGTAGGCAGTGCCCGTGCAGAGTGCCAGAAGTCATACGGTGAGCACAGGAGATGCGACCTGAAGGGAGGAGCATCTACAGGCTCCAGAGGGGGCCAGGAGACCTCTCAAAGGAGGGTGGGGCTCAAGGAAGGGCTGGGGGTGCCAGGCAGGGCTGGGGAGCTGAGCAGGGCTGGCAGCCACGTGCAGGAGTCGGACCCCGTCCCGAGGGCCTTCGAGAAGCTGGCGTGAGACTGGAGCTGCTCTGCAGGCCGGGCAGGCCAGACCTCAGCTCCAGCCGCTCCTCTTAGATCCTCGCCCTGCCCTGCCGCAGAGGTCCCCTCTTCTGTGCTCCTTCCTGGGCTCTTTTGTGCAGGGATGGATGCCCCTGCTTGACTGTTCTTTGTGAAAGAGGACTCTGGGTCTTAATCTATGTGTCCCAAGCAGCAAGCACTAGATCTTGAACATGAACAGATGTTTGCTGAATAAGTGGATGGCTTTTTCTTATTTCTATGAACTTCCATAGTCCTTGCTTTCAAATTCACATCCTTTCACACCTGGGATGTGTGCATTATGGAGACCCCATTGAAGTCCTGGCTCTAACAGTTACTGGGACAATCACTCAACTATCCTGAAACTTCACTTCCCCCATTGTAAGCTGAAGAGCTACTGTGATACAGTCTCTAAGTCTCAGTGTGCATGTGAGTCTCCTTTTCCTGGAAGGTTGTAGGTTCCTTGAAGACAGAGACCCAGAGTTCTCCCTGTTGATTGGTGGACAGCAGAGCACAGAGAAAAAAAGCACCAAAGGCAAACTGTCAGTCGTGCTCTGTCTGCCACATTCCGTGTGACCTTGAGCTAGGTAGGGCTTCCCTTTTCTGAGTCTGCTTTGCCTTCCTTGAAAGTAGGGATAATAACCGTTGCCTGGCAGAGCTCCCAAGGCCAGCGGAAGTCCCAGGCATAATAGTGCTTTGTGAATGGAGGAGACAGTGAAAGACACGATGGGGCAGATGACTGATCGTTAATTAAAAATAGAACAGCCATGCATGATCTTTGGAAGAGTGATGCTGGGCACCTGCGTTCAGGCTCTGAGAGGCAGAGAGACTGGGGTGCTGTTCTTCCAGCAGGCAAAGGCAAGTGAGGAGGTGCCTGGCTCCGTAACAGAGATTATCTGCTTTGCTGAGATCAGCCTCCTGTTTGCTGAGTCCCAGGAGAGGTGATGGTAGTGGGTCCATGTGAGGGGTTATGCAGCCAATGCTTTGCCCTCTTCCCTCCCAGCATATCCAGGCTGTAATGTTTTCTCTTGGGGTTTTGGTGGTCCCTGGCATAAGATAGTCTTGTTAGTCCTCAAAGCATTGGCTGTACAGCTGTCAGCTTCCTTTGGTGAATGAGGTTGCCTATGGGAGCAGTGAGTCCGCCATGGTGCCTTGAGAAAGTCCCATCCCAAGGCCAAGTCCAGCAGGACTTATTTCAACTCTTGTTCAGGCCAGAAGGGCTCGGAGCCATAGAGATGGCTCTCCCAGGACACAGCCTGTACCTAGGAGACTCTGGGACTTCCTGACCTTGGAACCCTCTCTCCTGGGCCCCAGGTCAGTGTAACAGTTTATCCTTAAGCCATGACCAGAGCCACCTCAAGAAAAATGAATTTTCCTGGAAGGATGTTGCCAATTCCTTGTCCCTGGCGAACATAGTCCTGGGGCTCTTCTCCATCTTCTGCAGCTTCAGCAGGTAGGTCTAGGGCCCAGCATGCTGTTAGCCAAGAGCCAGAGCCTACGGCATGAGCGAAGGGAGGGGGAGTTTAGAGAGCTGGGCACCATTGCACAGAGATCAACAGTGGGTAGGGGGGAACTCAGGGGCTTCCAAGTTCAGGGCTTAGGTCCTGGCCTCCATGTCTCACCAGCCTGATGCATGACCTTAACTGGGTCACATCCTTGGACCTCAATTTCTCTCTCCCGCTCTCTCTTTCTCTCTCTCTCTGTACTGGAAATTGAACTCATGACCTCACACTTGCCAGGCAGGCGCTATGCTACCTATATCCCTGGCTCAGTTTCTCCTTTTGAAAAACAAGGTGCTTACATTATGATTTCTACTGTTCCTTTAGTTATGGGGCTGTAAAATAGTTTTTATGAGAAAGTCAAAAGATTCTGTCCACTGTTTACATTTTCTGATTCTTAAATCAGAATATTTGAATTTGCACTGTTTGGGAAAGTCTGAAATACATATATGTATCCTCCAAAATTTGTAAACAATTTGTATTTCTATAATATGAGTCATACGTCAATGCCTTTAGGAAATCAGTTTCTTTAAAGATAAATGTTTTATAATGCATAACAACCTAATCTGTTTGAGTCTATAACTATCAGCAAGTGACTTATTTCTGGATCAGTTTCTCATTTGTCGATAAAATGATTTTATTTGCTCAAGCTTCTTCCTAGGTTAAATTTTATGATCCTCTACGTGTGGATTATTGGAATCTAAGAAAGTGGCAGTGGGCATGCCTGCAGCAGAAAATCTCTATCTTTTTAGTTCAAACAAATCATCTACAATTATGGTTCTTATTCCACGGTGGAAGGATCAGTATTTTTATTCAGCTTAGTCACTATTAGGACTGGGTCTAAACAAGAAAAATTCTAAGACAGTTTGGGGAGAACTGAGATCTGAGGTCAGGCTCTCCTTTGCTTCTATGGGACCACCTAATTATTCCTATCAGGGTACATACAGTCTTGTGAATGGACCTCTGTGGGGCAGGTTTGCTTGGGACTGTGGTTACTGCTTTCAGAATGTGTGCTGGGCATGGGCAGAGTCTTAAGAATGTGGGATCTCAGCAGCCATGGTGGTACACACCTATAACCCCAGCACTCACGAGGCCGAGGCAGGAGGATTGCTGCGAGTTCAAGGCCAGTTGGGCTACTTAGTGAGATTGAGACCAGCCTGAACTGCATATTGAGACCTTGTCTCAAAAAGGCAACAACAACAACAACAAAAAATATTATGGTGTTTCAAAGAGCTTTGGAATCATTTATGGCATCAAAAGATAAAACAAAACTGATAGAGCGCAAGGAGATATTGATGAACCTATCCTAGAGATTTCAATACCCTTCTATCAGTAATCAACAGACTTGAAGGCAGCAAATCAGCAAGCACATAGTTAAACTCAAACAGCACTATCCATCACCTGGACATAATTGGCATCCATAGAGCACTTCATTTAACTATGCAGAATGCACACTCTTCGCAAGCTCGCCTGTAACATCACTGAGAGCATTTTTGGCCATAAGACATGGTATGGTAAAACATACCATTCTTCAAAATGGGAATCATACAAAATATCATCTCAAGTCATGTGTAATTAAACTAGAAGTCACTAATCTTGAGATATTTGCAAGGTTAAGCAACACATTTCTAAATGATACGTGGATACAAGCCTTGACAAAAAGTTTAAAATATTTTAAGCTATAATTAAATGAAAATACAATTCACCCAAATTTTTGGATGTGAGGAAACAGTATTGAGTGCACACACAGCCTGCATCACATAACAGCAAGGATATGTGCTGAGAAATGTAATACTAGGTGATTTCGCTGTTGTGGGAGCATCATAGGATGTATTTGCACAACTAAAAGGCTATGACATCACTAGGTGATATAATCTTATGAGACAACTGTGATCTCGATCATGTGTGTGGTCTGTAGTGGAGCAAAATGTCATGACTATATTAGAAGATTGCATGCCTGCAATCCCAGCAGCTCAAGAAGCTGAGGCAAGAGGATAGAAAACCTGAGGCCAGCCTGTCTCAAAATAAAATAAAATAAAATAAAATAAAATTAAGGCTGTAGCTCAGTGGTACATACTTATGTAGCATCCTTGAGACTCAATTCTCAGTGCTGCAAAGACAGAGGGAGAGAAAGAGAGAGAGAGAGAGAGAGAGAGAGAGAAAGAAACCTCAAACTAGGAGAGATATACGCATGTGTGAGGTATATGTGGGTGGGGTGGCGGTAAGACAGTGTATGTCAGAAAGGATGTGTATAAGCATAGGGGCCATGCATAGCATGCATGTGAGGAAGGCGTGTTGGGAGGGGACCAGCGTATAGGGGAGGGCTGGTCCAGCAGGGACTGAGGGGAGCTGTACTGTCTGGGCCTGCTGGTTGTACTTTAGGAAATCCCACTGTGCCTCCTGGATGCTTTTGATGAGCTTCCTGCTGGACATGGTGATAAGAACGATAACCAGACAACTTAACATCTACTGCAAATCAGGTGAGTCCAGGCCTCAGGCCTCTAATCCCTGCCCCTGGGATCGTCCGTCTCCAGGCTCCACCTATCACCCATGTGCCTCTGAGAACAGCAGAGACAGCCACAGAGCAGGAGTTAGGGAGCCCCGCAGCCTAGACCAGCAGCATCTTTGCTGGCTCACTTTGGTTATCCTGGTCCTGGTACTTACCCAGTGTCCTTATCTGCAGAGCCTTACTGTTCTAGGCAGCTCCAGATACTGCAGAGAAAGTGAGGAGATGTAAAACTCCCCTAGCTGCTGGTTGTGAATCCTGTGTAATGCTTCCATGTAAGATTTTACTTGGTTACAAAAATGGAGGGTGCCACAGCTTATCAGGTTGCATCCTATTGTAGTACAATGTTTAGATGTGACATGATAGAGAGGGAAAGACTTGCTGGAGGTCCCGAGGGTCAGTCAGCCCCAGAGCTGTCGACTTGGATTCAGAGGCCCCCTGAGGAAGCAGCTGCTGTCCTTTGGGACCTCAGGACCCTGCGTGGCATGGCTTCAGCTTCCCCATCAGAGAGAGGCTGAGGTGTGAGCCTACGAGTGGACGTGCTAACCTTGGCCTCCTGTGCAGGAGCCGAGCTGAATGACTTTGCTGTCTTCACCACCTTCGGCCTGGCCTCGGCCCTGCTCCTCGGTGTGGACGGGCCCCTGAATGGGTTCTTGGCCATCATCTATGTGTTAACCACTTCTTTCCGCCTCTGTTTTTATTCATCTGGTGAGTGGAACCCACATAGCCTCAGGTCTGAGGACAGGGGAGCACAGAGTGGAGTTGCTGTTGGAAGCCAGAAGCTTGAACTGCGGGCACGAACGCCTTTCTGTGCAGTGCCTGTTTGTGAGCTGAGTGACCTACAGACCCTTGCTACCCTCAGAACTGTGGCACCTGGGTAGCTGGGGAGGGGTTTTATTCAGATGCCTTGAGAGCAGGGGAAGTGCTGATTCTCTGTCTTCCCCTGGCAGGAGTTCCCTTCTCATACAAGGGCCTCCCCTGCCCCTACGCTTCCTGTGTGTTGGCGTCCATTTCCCTTCTGACCAAAGGCAACACGTTCATCCTCTGCTGCATGGCCTCACTCATGATTCTGTTTATGGTAGACCAGAGCTACTACCCACGAGATGACGTCCTAGAGTCTGAGAACTGGAAAAAAGTAGTTTATGTGGGAGGTAAGTGAAAACACTGTGCTCAACCATCACTGGTAATCAGTTTATTGTTATAGATTTTTTTTTATCAGTACCAGGGATCGAACTCACGACCGCCTGCTTGCAAGGCAGGTGCTAACGCTGCTGAGCTAAATCCCCAGCCCCTTAATCAGTTTATTGTTACTACCTTTCTTGGCCACCTCACCCTATTCCCTGACTGCCTGCTTTATTTTCCACCACAGAACTTATCCTCTGACACAGAATCATCCTCTACGTATCCTTATAACTACTCTACCTATCCTTAGTACAAGACTCTCTTTTATTCATGCTACAATTGCCAGGGCCTACAGTTATGCCCATTGCATGGTGGATATTCAGTAAATATAGTATTTGTTGACAGTTAATGAGGTGAGTAAAAACTGAAGGGGCACCTACCACGTGCCAGGTACTATGGAAGACAAACTGGCAAACCAGACCCAATCCCTGCCTCTGAATCTACAACCAGATAGGGGAGAAAGACACCACACATAATGGCAGAACCAACCAGAAATATGTAGTTTTGATGCACTGTGATGATACAGGGTAAATCAGCGAGGGTGTCAGAAGTTGACCTAATCCAGACGGGGATGACTGCAGAGAGGGAAGGCAGCCTTAAGGAGGTGACCTTTAAGTGTAAGACGAGTGGCCAGGTGAGTAGGAGGGGGCGGTTCAGACAAAGGGAGCCCTATTTTGTGATGACTCCGAGGCTGGAAGGAGCCATGGGCGGCTGGACTTGCCGAGAGTCAGTGATGCAAACTGAGGTTAGCAAAGGAAGTGGACTGGACAAGAATTAGGGTTGGTCCTAAAAGCAATGAGACACTGTGATGGGATTTACGCAGGAAGTGATGTGACCAGAGCAATAATTTCTGGCCAGCATTTTGGCCACAACTTGGAGGACAGATGGGGGGGACCGAGTCTTCCGTTCAGAGGGTGACAGATGGTGATGGACCTGAGCTAAGTGTTGGAAGCAGAATTGCTGTGTGCAAAAGGGAGGAGTCATGGGTGACACCCAAGTTTCCAGTTTAGGTAACTGCGTACTGGGTTCCTGTCACCCTGGGGCTCTGGAAGGTGTCTCCCTACAGTTTGTCCCTAATTAGGGTTTCCTTCAAGTGATAACAAAATTTTTCTTTTAAAATATGCATGTGTAACAAGACAAGCATCTATGACAATGCTGTTTTTCCATTATTCCCTCGTGGTTTCACTGACATTTGTAGGGTCCTTGTTTCCATGCTGAACTTGTCCTTAAGGTTCATATCTAAGATTGGCACCAAAACTTTATTCAGGTTCTAGGTGCTACATCCTACTTTAACCTGCATGGCACATGCAGAATGGTAGTGAGAAGAACCTGGGTTTGTAGCCAAACTGATCTGCGTTCAGCTCTGATTTCAGCACACAGCAGTTGTATAAACTTGGAATAATACTTTTTTAAAATTTTCTTTATCTATAAGATGCAGTTTAAATACCTACCTTAAAGGATCATTGAGCCTAAATGAGATAGCAGATATGCTTGTAAATTTCTTGTCACAGATGTGAATTAAAATGCAGCTCCTGGCTCCTCTCTTCTCCTTTACCTCCTCTTCTAACTTATAGCAATATTTCCTCCAGCGTTTTGCTCCTGCAGATACTTTGATTCCTTCTTTTCAAAATAAGCTGTACAACTACCCTTAGTCTTTGCAGTGCCAGTAAATGAGGAACATCTACCTCACAGATTTTGACACCAGATGATACCACAGTCCTATAGTGTAGATTTCAAAATGGCTGCAGCTGATATTTCTCTTGTCTGGGGAGCAGCAGCCCCTTTCCCAAAGCTCCGTGGCCAGCTTTGGAGATCTTATGTTATATATTTTTCTAGGACAACTCTGGTTTTCAGTATTTTTTTTTTTTTTTTTGCCTCAACAGAGTATTCTTGAAATGCCCTATTCCAAATTTCCAACATATCCCCCTTAACTGCTTTTATCTCTCTACGTGTGCCCTGTCAGATCCAGTGTCCTGATTCATTTTACAAATACAGTGGTTATTCCCGTGGAGATGCTGTTGCCCATCATCTCCTATCTCTTTCTGAGCTGCCCCCCACCCCTGCTGCTGCAGTACCAGGGATTGGACCTGGGGCCTTTTCCCTGAACTACATACCCTGCCCTTTTTTATTTTTTATTTAGGGACAAGGTCTCATTAGGTTGACCGGGCAGGACTCAAGCTTGAGATCCTCCTGCCTCAGGTGCTGGGATTACAGGGATGTGCCATGATACCTGGCTTCTTTTCAAGGTTTCTGAGGCAGTGCAGGTAGCTATTTGTTTTTAGTGGTACCAGGGATCAAACTCATGATCTCATGCTTGCCAGGGAGGTGCTTACACGACTGAGCTAAATTCCTGGCCAGTAGCTAGTTTGTAGGAGCTAGCCGGGCATGATTTGAATCAGGATCTTGTATAAGTTGTTCCCCATTTGTTCATTTGAGAAACAGTCCATTCTAAGTCATAGGATTATTATGAAGTGTAAATGAAACAGATTATGGAAAATGCCTAGAAGAATGTCTAGCACTGAGTAGATATGCCACCAATGTGGGAACCCTTTTGTTTTTTGGTGGTGAATCTAAGACTCATACTGGGCTGGATGTCCTCAAGACTGCCTCCAGGTTTGGTGATTTGCTAGGAGATCCACAGGACTCTGTATATTGCCCTACTCATGACTAAGATTATATAGAGCATAAAGGATACTGAGCAAAAACAGCAGCAGGGTAGCGTGCATGGAACAAACCTTGGAGCAAACCAGATGCAAGCTTCTAACAGTCCTGTCCCAGTGGAGTCCTGCAGCACTGAATGGTGAGAATAATGTAAAGCAAGTGTCCAACCCTCAGTCTGCGGAGTACATGCAGCAGTATGTCCCTGTATTACTGGTCATACACAAGATTATAAACGTAACACTATTATGGGATTATTAGCAATACTTTCCATGATTTGATTGCATGTGTGGACTGGTAGGTGACAAAAAGCATCATGTAGGGGAAGGCTCAGTGCAGTCCTGACTCTACCTGATGTGTCTGCCACACACAATCAAATAGACACCTGTGGGTACCACACATCATGTGCAATTGTGCAACTTGGTGAGTAAAACCCAATGAGTACTGTGAGAGCATTGAACTCCCTGCCATGGGTGTGCCTAGGAAGACAGGTATTTATTGTTATTAAGCAGATGTGCAAGTTTTCTTCTCCAATTACTAAACTTGTTCTTTTTACATTGTTTTGTAAAATAATTTAATAAGTTAACAGTTTTTAAAAGCAGTCAGTGTATAGGAAATTAAAATGTATCAAAAAAGTTTTTTTGCTCATGGTAGTGTTAAAAACATAAAAAAGGAAGATTTTTTAGTTATATACATTAACTATATTATATATTTTAAGTTTTTTTTTCTTTTTGATACTGGGAATTGCATTCATGATCTTGTGCTTTCCAGGTAGGCACTGTGCTGCTGAGCTATATCCCTGGCAAAATATTATATATTTCACATGTGGCCCAAGACAATTCTTTGTCATTCGGTATGGTCCAGGCAAGTCAAAAGTGACACACCCATGATATAAAGTGCTGTCCTGCCAGGGAAGCTCATCAGACACTCAGCGCCAAGGCTTAAATTGGGACTAGTCACATAGGTGTGCCCTGCCTAGCATACACCAAATTCCCAACTCCCCGAGGTAAACCTCATGTTCATCACAAACCACTGTGCTTAAACAGCAAGGTGTCCTGATGAGGCAGGGGAAGTTTTGTGTTGGCATTGATCTGCCAGCCAGTGGCCACCCTTGTGAGTGGGCCTGTCTGACACTAGGAGCCTCAGGTCTGTTGCGTTAACTCTTTTCTGCATGCATGTAATACTGCATTGGCCATTATCCTATGTTAAATTTGAAGTAACTTGGAGGATTTAAATTTTTTTAATTACTTTTTATTAGTGCCTGTTTGCAGTACATGCAGTTTACAATGATCTTGGCCAGGCGTGGGAACACATGCCTGTAATCCCAGCACTTGGGAGGCTGAGGCAGGAGGAGTACCACAAGTCTGAAGCCAGCCTAGGCTACATAGTGAATTCAAGACCTCCCCAAACTACCTGGCAAAACCCTGTCTCAAAAAACTGAAAAAATAAAAAACAGTTTACAGTCATCTTGGGGAGAGGTTCCACGTATATAATAATACAACTTGTCTTTTTTTGGAATCCCCTTCCTTCCACCCTCCTCTAATTCCCCTTTCTCCATTTTCATTCTTGACATCATTATTCTTAGCCCATGTTTATGACATACAGTGTTTACAGTCATGGGGGCTATTAGGTTCCTGTATGTGGCATATCCACATTTTACTTCCCCTCCCTCTCCCTCCTTGCCCTTAGTCTCTTGAACCCTTCCCATGTGCAAGAGATCCGGCCCCTGCCTCTTTCTGTCCAGAACTTTATTAAGTGGAGGACTTTTTTTTTTCCTAATGAAGATTGGAGCCACTCAAACGTATTCTTGGATAGGACTTGTTTCTGCCGTGACACTGACAAGATGGAATCTGGACTTATACTAGATTACAAGTGGCTACCTACACACACATATGTAACATATAAACATTTGTAACGTATACACATATATGTATATATAATGTTACATATACATGTTAAGTTGAGTTAAAGACAGGGCCCCATCTCTCTTCTGCTGCTGTTTCTTGGGTACTGAATGACTGTGAAGTTGGGGAGGGTGGCTGGGAGCCCCGTGAGACAGCTTCATAAAAGCTGAGCTAGCGCCTGTACGTTTTCTTCTTTCAGGTGTCGTCATGCTGTTTTTCTCCCCATTTTCCCTCACTGCTTTTTACTGCCTGGTGTGGTCGCTCTCCTACATCTTCTTTCCGGATGCGCTGTGGGGCGGGGCAGCCTGCCTTAAGCTGTAGCGTGGAGGAAACCACAGCTCCACCAACTCCCGCCGGCCTCTGTGGGCTCCGGGCCAGCATGTGGGGCCAGCCGTCTCGCAGACTAAAGCCTTCGCTGTGCCTGAGCTGTCCTGTGCCAGATACATGTGATCTCTATTGAACCATAATAAACCACAGTCAGGCCAGCAGCCTTTCTTCGTTCTCTTTATTCATGGCCCTGATTCCCTCGAGGCAATACTTGTACGTGGCGTGCAGAATGGATCTTTTTCCACGTTAAGTTTTGGCTGTGTTTGGGTTCCAGCTTTGCCACTGTGCTAGGGTTCATCCCTTGGGAAGAAGAGACGTTCTCCAGAGTTGGTGGAGCTGCTACCTCTGCCTGGCTGGACAGCAGTTGTCCTAGTGGCAGGACGGGCTCACCTGCAGGCTCTGGCTCAGAGAGCAGAGCTTAATTCACATTGCTCACTTTGACTGTCTAAGGCTTCATGATTTAAAACTTCTGTATTTAAAGGTTCAAAACTGCCTTTTGCTTCAGTTAGAGATTAGATGCTGTGGTAGCACAAAAGCATCATCTGGTTTAAAGTCTCGAACACTAAACACTAGCTGGGTGTGGGGGCACACATCTGTAATCCCAGAATTTGGGAGGCTGAAGCAGGAAAATCATTTTGAGTTTGAGACTAGCCTGGGTTACAAAGTGAGCTCAAGGATAGCCTGAACTGCATAGTGAGATCCTGTCTCAAAAAGAAAAAGACAACAACAAAAAGTTCCCCATTAAACTCTAGTCCATTGCCACTTCATCGCCTAAAGTCCAAATCAAGCCAGATGTGGTGGTGCACACCTGTAATCCGAGCACTCAGGAGGAGGCTGAGACAGGAGGACCACTGAGTTCAAGGCCAGTTTGAGCTATGGAGAGTTCAAAGGTAGCTTGAATTACATAGCAATACCCTATGAATTACATAGCAATACCCTATAAAACACCATTGTAGGGAAAGCTGTATCTCCCAGAGAATCTGGATTCATTGAAAACAGTGAGTCCCTCGTGTCTGCAGTGGGACCCTGCCTCCAGATGGCCAGGAGGAGCAGTGGCCAACATACGCCTTCCCGTAGGTGGCGCCAGAGCACTTGTAACCATGTCCAACTATCTGAAGTTCTTAAGTTTTCACAACTTTGCACGGGGCAAAATATATATCAAATCTACAATTAGATTTATAAAAGTACCAATCTAAAGAAGCCCACATCACTATGATGCAGCTCTAAAGGAGAAGACCATGTCCCCTTCACCACTGTTGCTGATACCAGGCTTAGGTGACTATGCCTGTGCCCCGCCAGATTTCAGTCTCAGTTTATATGTGAGTATTTCTGCTACCTGGCACAGTGACTGGCACTCAAAAGCATTTACTTTGTAGGTTGATTTAGTTAAGGATTGTGGTAAGCGATATATCAGGTTACTGTGCTAGAGTGAGCAGTATACAGGTAGATACACCTACGCTTGGGCATAGCTCTGTGCTGCCCCTCTGTGAGACAGCTGAGGCTTCACTGTGGTGGCTGCCTCAGTTTGTTTTGACAAGTGCCGGAGGACTGGTGAAGCGTGCTTCTGGGTGTGTCATGGGGCATGACGTTGGGGAGTATATCTGGTTCCCTGACCCCTCCTTCCTCGCTCTCCGATCCTCACCTCTCCTCCTTGGCTGCTGTGGAAGGCAGAGTAGCTTTCCTCCACTACATCCTTTTGCCATGACATTTCTGTCTCGGAACCAACAGACTGTGGACTAAAATCTCTGAACCTATGAGGCAAAATGAACATTTCTCCCACTAAATTAAGCTGTATATATGGAAATTTTGTTCCAGTAGTGGAAAGCTGGCTAATACATACTTAGTCAGTACATTGTAGCAATTCCAATTTGAAAGCTGTCTTCCCATAGACTTTTTTTCTTTCTTTTTTTTTTTTTTTGTCTTTTTCGTTTTTATCGGTACCAGGGATCGAACTCACAACTGCCTGCTTGCAAGGCAGGCGCTTATGCCGCTGAGCTAAATCCCTAGCCTCCCCCCACCCCTTTTTTTTCCATAGACTTTCCTGGTCAGCAGCTACCACAGTGCTCCACAGTACACGTGCTAAGAAACCAAAACCAGAGCAAACTTGTGTCATTCTCAACCAACCAAATTTAGGACACTTAGTTTAAACGTCCTAATTTTGAACATACTTTTGAAAAAGCTAACATTTGAGATTAACCAATGATGTCCTGTTCTTTTTGTTTTTTGAGACAGTGTCTCTCTTTATAGTCCAGGCCGGCCTTGAACTCACTAAGTACCTCAGACTGGCCTCGAACTTTTGGCAATCCTCCTGCTTCAGTCTCCTGAGTTCTGGGATTATAAGCAGGAGCCGCCATGCCCAGTAGATGTCCTATTCTTGAATCACGGTTTTATCAGGTTTGGTTTCAAGTAACTTCTAGATGTTTCCATATTGAAAAGAAAAAGATACTTTTTTTTTTTTGAGACAGGGTCTTACCATATAGTCCAGGCTGGCCTCAAACTCACTATGTAGCCCAGGTTAGCCTCGAACTCGAGGCAATCCTGCCTCAGCCTCCAAAGTGCTAGGATTATAGGCATGCTCCACCACTCCTGGCCTTAAAAGATGAGATTTTGAAGGAGAATTTCCATGTCCATTTTAAGAGATAGCAGCAGAGTTAAAGAAAATATTTAAACCCCCAATAAGGCTGTTTTGAAAAGCAAAATACTCATTTGGATCTGCGCATTTGGCACAGTGCCTACTTTTATGCTTGATTGCTTTGATTTCTTTGTAGTTTCGTGACATGAGGACACTGCTCGGTCAGCTGAGTTCTGGCTCCACTCCTCAGCCAGCTGGAGTCTTGATGCTAATCCACCATCTCAGAGTCTTTTTTCCTAGACAGAAATTTTTAAATACAGAATGGTTTTTCTTAGGCTTCCCCTTAGGAACAAGTGAGCAAGCCAAGACCTTAACATTGCTCTTCTCAGCGGAATCCAGGGAGCCAGAGGAGTCCGGGCAGCTCCAGGATAGAGTACAGACCTCCTTCTGGCTAGTCTTCCCAACCTGAAGGGGCAGCTCTTTGTGTCTGGTGAGCCAACTCAAGTGACTGAGAGCTCTGCTACCTGTGTAGCTCTGTGACCTTGAGTAAAATGCCTCTCTTAAGCCCACTTCCTTATCTGTAAAATAGAACATTTATTTGCACCAAGGGTTGCTTTGCAAACCAAATACAATGACACATAACACATCTAGTGAATGCCATGTAAAAGGTATTAAATAACGATAATAATACTACATACAGTAAATGTATAAATATTGACTAAATTATAGTATGTAGCTTGCCACGTGCCAATAACCTTGTATTTTTACTATTTCCTGAGTTAGATGACCACAGGCTTAAGGTGAGCAGTTATCAAAGTATGATCTCCAAACCCCTGTGATTCCTGAGACCCTTTCAGGACTGAAATTATTTTCTCCATAATCCTAAAACAGGGATTATAATATCACTCGTGGACATTTTGCTAAAGGAACAAAGCATACGTGGGTAAAGGTGTTGATTCCTTGGTGTGGCTCTAGATGGCAGCCAGGGACCTTTTCACTGTATGTGCTCCCGTAAACAAAACAGCAGGGCAGTGTTGCACACCTGTATTCCCAGCTCCTTGTGAGAACTGGAAGTCACAGGCCAGCCTGGGAAACATAATGAGACCCTGTCCAAAAAAAAAATGCTGGTGATATAGAGCACATATAATAAGCGTGTGCATTCAGTCATCAGCACTGCAAAACACATAAACAAAAAGAATTTCACTTAAGAATATCCTGGAGGAGCAGGAAAAATTCCTAATTTTATTGAATCATGAGTGCACATCTTCTTAGATTTTCTGTGCATAAAATGGGGAATTCTTGAGTACTTCTGCTGCATACTGGAGTTATGATGTAATTTCTAGGGAAAGCCCTGGTTTAAGTATGAACCAAAATAGCTCTTTTCTTATGAAATGCTACAGGACAAATGACAAAGGAGAATGGTTAGACTAGGATTGAATGATGAAGACATTGAGAATCTCACTTCAAGAAAAAGTGTTTGTTGGCAAGGATAAATTTGAGCTTCCAACTGAAAACTAGAGTTTTGGAAAGCTTTTATCTACCCCTGAGCTTTGCTCATTTACAAAGACATTTCTGAGGTCAGTGGGATTTTTTTTAATCAGTGGGATAGTAAGGAATATGAATTTTTGATGTGTAATGCAATGTGTCCACATTTGGAAGATCTGCATAACTCAGTAAACCAGTATTTTCTAAATGACCAACACTTAATATTACAAAATTATGCATTCAAAGGCCAAGATTCAAAGACCAAAGGATTTTAATGTATCGGGGAACAAAAAGTTCCCAGATCCGGTATCAGAGTTCATGTTCCAGCTAATCTTTAAGAAACTACCACTTGCTGAGTTTGGTTGTAGTATGAAAGAAAATCTACAATGACCTCAAAAGGCTATTAAAATACCACCATCTTTTCTAATTATCAACAATTATGAAACTTGATTTTCTTTACACCTTTCAATCAAAATAATATGAAAATTTAGAATATAGAAACAGATAGGAGAATCTAGTTGTTTCAACCTCCAGAATTAAATGGGATATTAAAGAGATTTGCAGAAGTATAAAATAATGCCACTCTTCTCACTTTAGGATTATTGTAGAAAGTTTTTTTTCCCACAAAAATATTATTTATGCTAACCTATGTTAGGTTTGTTTTGTTTCATGTTGACTAATAAATATTTTGAAGCTTTTAATTTCTATAGTGGCAAATATGACACAACCCACATAAATAAAAGCTCTTTGGAACCTTCAGTTTTTGAAGTATAAAGTTCTGAGACCAAAAATTATGAGAATCACTTAGAAAGATTACAACTTGCTACACAATTAGTAAGTGGTGAACCAAAGAGTCAAACCCAGAGAGCCCGACTTTCAAAATCAATGCCCCAAGTCTTTTTTGGTACATGGCTTCAAAAATATTCTCTCTTACTCTGGACAAGCAGGAACTAGACCACACGAGCAATAGGACATTCCAGGCAGGCAGGTAGGCAAATGTGCTCCCAGTTTTCCCTGACTATGCTGTGAGTCTGTTCCAATTATGGACACAAAGACTTCTGAAGTCCTTATCCTGGTATTCCTTAGAGCCAAATGAATCTTTCCTTTCTTTCTTTTTTTTTGGTACTGGGGATCAAACTCATGACTTCATACTTGCCAGGCAGGCACTTGTGCCACTGAGCTAAACCTCCAGCCCGAATCTTCTTTTCGTTAAAATGTGAATAAACCCACGACTCATTCTTGTTTTGGTTCAGAAATTTATTATCGCAAGTTTTTTTTTTTTTTTTTCCTGGAGTACCGAGGTTTGAATCCGGGTTGAACCCAGGGTATCATACTGACTTGTATTCCCCGTCTGCCCCTCCTTCTTACTTTTCAAATTCTGAGACAGAGACTCGCCAGTTCACTAAGTTGACCTGGCTTGGCTTGAACTTGGGATCCTCATGACTCAGCTAAGATTACAGGCTTGTGCCATCATGCCAAGCTTCAAATGTGTGTTTTTAAAAACCTACAGCAAGAAATAAATTTTATATCCAACATAGTATACACTTTATGTGTATACAAACTTAAAAATTTCATGAGACAATATTCTTACTACATGTAATTTTTTTCTTTCGGTAGTGGGTGCTAAGCACATGCGCTACCACAGAGCTGCACTCTTAGCCTCCAAGAGTGGTATTTTCTATTATTTCATTAGCAAGAAAAGTTAACATTTATTAAGCTGATTTTTCAAGCACCTGCCATTTGCAAAACGGCTGTACTGTCCTTCTTCAGGCCATAATATACATGAGTCTTAGATATGTTAACACAAGCAAAGGGTGCGAATCTTCCCAAACAACTCTCATTACTTCTTGGTTTTTTGAAACTTGAAACATTTCCCATGAAGTGATCTGAAAACTTGTTGGAAAAGGAAATAACACTATTACATATTGTATGTTATTTGTTTCTCAACAACGATCCTAAGAGGGAGGAAACAATATTATGTTACATAGATGGGAAAAATGAGATTTCGAAAGATGAACAGGTATTTAACCCAGGTAACTTAGCTTTAAAGCTTAGCTCTTTCTCATGTATTAACAGTAATTCCTTATGTTTACAGAGATAGCTCCCTGTAACCCTCTACTTCTCCAACAAAACCAAAATTCAACTCAAATTTAGCAGGACACTATAGAACCTAATTACCATTTACAGGGATAATCTATGTAGAGATTGTCCTTAATTATAACTTGGGTCTTAAAAACACCTCTTCACAGTGCTAGCAAGTTACTAATAACACACAATTAACTCTCCAGCTTGCTCCAAAAATAAGCCACAGCAGTGGGAATAGTATTCTCTTGAGAGGCAGATGGGAACAGCACACAGTATGAGACATACAGGCATTGCTAGCTTGGAGTATGGTGGCAATATCTGACCTTTTGGTTTTTTTCTGAGTATTCTGCCTCATTTCCATCTTTATTCATCCTTTCTGAGATCCATTTTCCTCCCAAAGAAAATGTCCTGAAAGAACCTTTCCTTTTGCTCAGCATTAAAAAAACTTCTGCTGCTAACATGCTGGTATAAATTGCCAGTTTTGACACAAATGTCTGGGGTAGAAGCACCTTTCCATCTTTAACCCTATAAATGGCAGTTGGATGAATGGCTGTTTCTGAGGGACCAGTCTGAATATTCCCATCACAAACCGTTATGGCTTGTGTTTACATGTCCCCCTAAAGCCTCATGCAGGCAAAGATGTGGCTAGTGTGGTCTGGGATTGATTCATGGTACAATGCTAGGCTTGTGAGTGCTGCCCACCCTGAGTAGCCTGGATACCATATAAGGGGCAAAGATGCTGTTAAAGTCCCTTGTTTTGTTGCCTTTTGCTCTCTACAAAGTGTTCCTCTGGGATATATGTCTGCAAGGATGCCTTGGAGCCAGCTGATTATGGACTGAAACCTCCACAAACTGTGAGCTAAATAAAGCTTTCCTCTTAACTTTAGTTTGTCTTAGCAACCAGAAAAGTAACTTAAGACACATTTCTGGGTTGGATACAGGAGCCCCCAAATTAAAAACAAAAAGCACTGGCACTTGATGCAAGCCTGCTGCAAGCACTCTTGATGGCAGGTGAGATTCCTAGTTTCTAGCTTCTGCTCTAGCTAGCACCTCAAATGCAGTGAAAGGTCACATATAGTATCTGTGTGATGAAAAGCTTATGATCAGCAAGGTCTGCAGAACACCAGCCCATGAAGAACCAATACTAGAAGCAGTCAATCCTGTTCCTCTACCTCATTCCTGAAGGAGGAAGGGTGCCTTCTGCTCCCTCCATGTTTCTAAGTATCTAACATATGTAATAGCAACTATGTATCAGGCATCATTATTGGCCCTGGGTGACAAAGTAGTGAACAAAACAGTATAAATCGCAGCGTTCTCATGGAGTTTATATGCTAGTGGATACAGACAGACAAGAAATAAAACAAATGAGTAAATATTTTAAGAGACAGTAGGAATACAGAATTAAAAAAAAAAACACAAGGCGATAAGGACTGCCAGGATAAAGCTTGGTATAGGTTACACCTTTATGTAGGACGGTCCTTTCATTGAGAAGCTGATAAGGACAAAAAATTAAGATGTGTGATATATATGCATCAACTGCCCGTGATGAATGCAATCATGGACCGCAAACATCCACCAATAAAAATAATTTTTAAAAAGGTGAAGGTTATGAGTTTGATCTCTGGTACAAAAAAAAAAAGGTGAAGGTGAGAAGATTCTGCAGCCGTATATAGAGTGAGGACAGGCAGAAGGACCAACTCACTCCAAGACCCTAAGGAGGGAGTGTACTTACTGTTTCTGAGAAAGAGCAAGGGAAGCCAGTGTGGCTGGAGCAGAGTGCAGGAAAAAGAGTACAGAGGTTATCAGAGGGGAGGAGAAAGGCTCCTATCATGCAGAGCTTTGACCTGATGGGCTGGAGGAACCAATGTCACCCTTAGGCAGTCAACAGAGGTTTCCAGCAGAGGATCCTCACATGTTTTAATAGGGTCACTCTGGTGGTACACTCAGAACAGACTATAGGGGCATCAGTAAAGGGGGATGACTCAGATGACTTGGGGGAAGATGATGGTATCTTGGTCCAGAGTGGTAGAAGTACCAGTGGCAGCAATGGTATATATATATATATATATATGAATAAAATATTTGCAGACAGATAAAATGATGTATATGAAAATGAATCAAGATTTAAAGGTTTTGGCTCAAACAAGTAGAAATACTGAGTTGTTACAAACTGAAATAGGGCCCAGTGAGGTAAGAGCATGTTTGCGGGCAGGGCAGTGTCGAGCGTTTAGTTTCAGGTACCCACTCAGTATTTCCTACCTCCTGCACTCTTTTCACTTCCTATGGCTTGGCACTCCCGTGCTAAAGGATGAACAAATCAGCACTTTATTAGTATTTTATTTGCATTTTTGAAGAAGATACATGGTTTTACAAGAAACACTGATTTTTCTCAAATAATAGAAAAAGTAAAAAAAAGAAGAAAAAAGAGACCTTTTATCTCAGTAAAAGACGAGAAGTCTCTTCAGTGAACACTGGGCCAATTCGGCGTGGAAGAACCGAGATGTGGAAGTTACACATAGCACGTGAGTTCAGGTTTATCCACAAATGTCTTATTTAGTTCAGTAAGGCTCCAAATGGGCCATCTGAGCTTAACACTGGCAGCAAGCTCACAAACAAGGCCCGCAGAGTCCCAGGGGGTTGAACACAGGGCTGGCTCACTCTCCAGGAGGCTGCATCTGTTTACAGAACTCATCAAACTGCTGCTGCTCCAGTTCCGTCATGACTCTGTTGAGGGCATAGATCTGAACAGAGAGACAGACAAATTAGCCATGAAAGCAGCTGCTCACATGGTCTCCAGACTCAACAGGTCCGGTCATCTAGAGATGCTGGAACCATACCACTGATTGTAGAGTAGGGAGAGTGATTTGGGAGCAGGAAGGTATATATTCATGAGGAATCACCTGAGGAATCAATTAAAAAGTGAGGCAGGCAGGTTGGTCTTCAGGGGATAGTAGGATTCAAACAGGTAGCAGTTGAGGATGGGACCTCATAGGCAACTGCGGGTGGGTGCTATGCATAACCAAGTGAGATGTGGAATAGCAGCAGTTTAAGCAACTTCAGGCATGCCAATATGGAGGATATAGGGTGGGCTGGGGAGCTAGAGAAAGCAAGACAAGTACACTGGGGCCTTCAATCCCATGCCAAGAAACTGGGGTCTTTACCAGACTCTGGAGAGCCAGCAAAGATAAGTGTGCAGGGGAGCAATCGGATTCTACCTTTGCCTTAGGAAAGATACGTGAGAGAGGGAGGGTGTGTGTGTTTGTGGAGGGATTTTCAACCATTTAAGTGGCATCTTTTACACTAGTTCATGAAGGAGGCAGAGACTATGGCCTAGGGCAGGCCACAGTGGTGGACAGAAGACAGCAAGAGACCTTCCAAGGTGAGAGGTGGAGTGTCTACACCTTCCTCCTCATCTTCTGTCATCCTCACAGCAACTAAACTATCCACTAAGAGGAGGAACAGATCATAAAACTCTACAATTTGCAGAAGAAATACAGCAAAGATGTCTGTGCATGTATACAGGACATATAACTTGATTTAAAAGAGGAGAAAAATAAAACAGAAATGAGACAAATGGAAAATACAAAATACAAGTAGAAGGTAATGAACTACCAGACACATATAGTAAGAGAACATCAACAAAACTGCAATGTTTTTTTTGCTCTGCAGCGTCTGGGATCAAACGTAGGGCCCCTGGACACTAGACCTGTGTTCTGCCTCTGTGCTATCACCCCAGTCCTCTTAGGAAATATTAAAAATTCCTGCAAAGCTGACAATATGGGTCAGCATAAAGAGTGGGCATGAACAAGTATCATCAGGAACCAGAAAGAACACATGACTACTGATGTAGCAGAATATTATCAACTTTTTGCCAATACATTAAAGAACTTCAAGGAAACAAATTTCTAGAAAAAGTAAAATGATCAGAATGGACTAGAAAGTGTGAAAGGTTCTAGAATCCTTAAGAAAAATCGAATTCAATATAGGGATAAAATAGTTAACGCAACCACAAATGATTCTCAAAAAACAGGGCTAGCCAGGCATGAAGGCACATGACTGTAATATCAGTACTTTGGTGGGAGGCTGATGCAGGAGGATCACAATTTCAAGACTAGCCTGGGCAGCTCAGTGATTTAGAACGCGTGTCAAAATAAAAAATTTTAAAAAAGGGTTGAGTCCTGGCTCAGTATGAAACTCCTGGGTTCAGTCCTCAGTACTATAAAACAAAAACAAAACAAAACAAATTAATGCTGATAGCGAAAATGGTAAATTTTTACTTTTTGTATATTTTACCACAATAAAATAAAAAAGGCTGGGGATGTAGCTAAATAATAGTTTGCCTAGCATACATGCGGCCCTATACTTCATGCCCAGCATCACAGAAAATTTTATTTATTTATTTGTACTGGGAATCAAAATCAGGACCTCATGCTGGCCAGCTATATCCAGGGTAACAAAAAAGTATTAAATAATTTGAATGGCTAAAAAAGTGCTGAGTGAAGACACAGATAACTAATAACAGATACAAAAGTTCAAGAAATGTGTCAAAGTATTATTTAGGGGTACAAACAGAAGTAGTAACTATATATAGAACAGTAAGGGAGTAATTAATGTAAAATTAAGCCAAGAATATGGCTCTTGTGAAGGATCAGGTACCTTACCAGAAAGGGACACTGGAGTGGTTACTGGTCATGTCCTATTTCTAGTTGGATGGTAGAAATTAGGAAACTTTCTTTCTTTCTTCTTTTTGTGATACAGTCTCACTATTCAGTCCAGGCTGGCCTTGAGAGTTCACTTTGTTGCTCAGGCTGGTGGTGAACTCATGGCAATCCTCAGCCTTCTAAGTGCCGGGATCACAAGCATATGCCACCATGCCCAGCAATTTTATTCTTTAAACTACACAAACACAGTATTTTACACATACATATACTTTATTATATATATGGTTTTCAACCACTGGCTTTTTTCTTAACTGGAAATTGAACTCAGGACCTTGTAGTTGCTCAGTCCTGTATGTTTCTTAAAGACCTCTTCCTCATTATCTCACATGTAATCCAGGCTGGCTCTGAATGCATGGCGATTCTCCTGCCTCAGCCTAATGAGTGCTGGGATTCATTTGTTGTCTATTTAATGAGCATTTGTAAACTACATTACTGTGTTAAGGACTAGGAATGGGTACTACGTAACTTCTTGGAGACTTCTCAAAGAGGCAGGGAGGGAAGCCAGAAAAGGAGAACCAAAATGTGTCAGGGTGCCCAAATTATGTAAGACCTCTGGTCAAGGAGGAAAGGGCCACTAGCAGAGTCAAATGCTGCTTCAACTGCTAAATGTGCCTGTGTTCCCATTCACTCCTCACATCTCTTCTCACCTAACCTTCTGCAATGTGGCAAGTTGGCAGAGCTGAGTGGAAACTTTGCTTTTTCTCCCTCAAAGGGTCTTGTCACAATCATACATTAGACTCCAGGCAATACAGAAAAAGAAGACAGGGCAAAACAAAAAGCAGATAAAGGTCAGAGGCCTGTTAAGACTGCAGGTCTGTCCCACATTAATTATGGGACTCCAGTCACATCATTTCACTTTAAAGTGGGGCTACCCCACACATCATGTTTCATATACACCAACTTTACTCTAGGAAAGATTTACAATGGGTAAAATGGGAATAACAGTAGTACCTGCCTTGTGTGGGGATTACGTGTTCACATGTGTACAGGGCTAGCTTGGCCCTGGAACACTGTAGGAAGAGCTCAACACATACCAGCTGCCACTAGACTGAATCCCTAGCACTACATCTCAGCAAATGAACATGAACATGATCAGTTGTTTGCTTTAAATGATGAAAGTAAGTCAACTGCTTGGGAACATGATGATTTCTAACCATAATCACTTTTTTTTTATACCGGGAATCGAACTTACCACCTTGCGCTTGTTAGGCAGATGCTTACGCTGCTGAGCTAAATGCCCTCATAATCACTTTTTTACTGAGGGCCTTCTCTGTGCTAGGCACTGCGCCAAGTACTTCACATGTAATATTTCTATTCACTTTAACAGTATTGTGAGGTAGATGCACCCTCATTTTACCAAGGAAGAACTGAGTGAGGTTCAGAAGGCTGAAATGTCCTGTTCAAGGTCACATGAAAAGAACTGGGATTTGAACTCAGATAAGTAATTTAACCTGCGAAACCTCACAGGAAGAGTGTAGTAAGTATATGAACAATGTCTTCAACATCTATCAGGCTGTTTTATAGGGCTGTTTCTTAGGGCCCCCAAACTGTTCACCAAAGCACAATGCAATAAAATCAGCCACAGGCCTGGATGTAGGTAAGGAAAGGGCAGGACCATCTGTTAGACCCAGGGCCACAATTTCCAGATGCTTTGCTTTAAACTAAAGGTAGGTTTGAGTTTACAGTTTAACTTCAGGTATGGTAAATTTGTTGTGTTTAAGCACCAGGAAGGCAGGGATTCTCTGCTTTGTCCCAGTCACGTGTTTCATGCTCCTAAAACACTGCCTATCATGTAGAAGAAGTAGCTCAACGTTTCTTAATGAATGGATCAGATGAAGTGTTACATCCGAAAATAGGAGTGAGACATCTCTTCTACTGTCAGTGGGATGTAAGCTTGTATAATCCCCTTAAAAGCAATTTGGCAAAACGTACCCAGCAACTCTTCTAGTTAAAGACCTAAAAAGTTTTAGCCAAAGACACCGACAAGTTTTTCACTACATCAATGTTTGTAAAAGCAAAAATCTTATCATTAAAATGTCCATCACTGGAGGAATGGGTAAATACACTAAGTAAGATGGGTTCATAAAATAATAGTAGAGACTGATAAAAATGAACAAGATACTTGGATTAACATGAATAGCTCTAAAAAATAATACGAAGTGAAAAACTGAAACTTTATTAATGTAAAAATTTAAAACATAAAGTAATATTTTATGTTGTTCAGGACATTTACAAATATAGTTATATGAAAAATAGTGCTTTATTTATGAGAAGAGGAAAAAGTTTTAAGACCAGAAGCAGACAAAGGGGATTTCAAATTTATAGCTGATTCTTATCTTACTTTAAAAAGACTGAAAATAGGAATTCAGGTTGGGGGATTTAGCTTAGCACCATAAGCACCTGCCTGGCAAGCACAAGGCCCCAAGTTCAATTCCCTGTTATCTCCCCCCCCCCTCCCGCAAATAGACTATAAAAAAATGTAAGAAGAAAAAAATATATATACACACACATAAGATAGCTAAGATAGTTGTATTAATAATTATATTAGCTCATGGAAAGTAACTGTGTTTATAGAATTTGATCTGTTTTGCATGCCTGTATTTTATAATCAGAACAACTATTTTGAAGATAACAATATACAATATAGTGACCATTATTAATTTCCTATCATCTTGTTTTGAAATCCTATATTGTTTTTATTGTTTTGGGTTTTGGGTTTTTTTCTTTTTTCTTCTTTTGGTACTCGGGACAGAACTCATGACCCTGTGCTTGCCAAGCAGGCACTTAACGCCACTGAGCTAAACCCTAGCCCAACTGTTTTGGTTTTTTATTGTTTTCTTTAAAGTTTTTTTTGTTTTTTTGAGTCTTGCTATGCAGTTTAGGCTGCCCTTGTGCTTACTTTATAGCCCAGGCTGGCCTTGAACTCACAGCAATTCTCCTGCCTCAGCTTCTCAAGTGCTGGGATTACAGGTGTGTGCCACCATACCTGGCTTTTTAAAATCTCTTTAAAATAAAAACGATAAAAAGAAAAAGACTGCAGAAACCAGGTATGGTGGTGCAATTCCTGTAATCCCAGCACTCAGGTGGCTGAGGCAGGGTTGCTGCAAGTGCAAGGTCAGCTATCCCCAACCTGGGATGCTGATAACCAGGTGTTCACTGTAATAGTCTAATTTTCTGTACTTCCAAATTTTTCAAAGACAAAAGGAATAAAGACTGGCAAGCTTTATATTTAATATAAAGCTTATATATAATATAATATATTATATAATATATATTAAATATATATATATTTATATATACTGAAATAAAATACACCTAGATGTGGATCAGCATTTGCAGTGTGAACAGTTTAAAAGATTTTTATTTTCACAATGATTGATTGCCAGGCAGGTGCTGTGCCGCTGAGCTTTATACCTGGTCCTCACGAAGATTGTTAAGTGGTGAAACAACAAAAAAACACATCAGTGGGTTTAAGGCTTGGGCTCTTATCTGGCTGTGAGTAATGATCCCAGTTTTTGCACCAATCCAGCACATGTGACCCTGCCTCCCTCTCTGAGCCTTCCCTTACACATCTCTTCCTTCTTCCTTGTCTTCTTCCCTCAGGTCCCTGTCATTAAAAGCTCTGTGCCCAGGGTCCTCTGGAGACCAGGTACTGGTTGGGATTCTGATGCTAACTTGTCAAGTGACTCTGAGATGCCCTGTCACCATTCTGGACCTTGATGATCTTTCTAAAGCTAAGAGAACTTTTGCTTGGAGGCTGGCAGGGCTCCCCATCACGGCCTCCATTTCTTTTTCCTTCCTTTGCTTTCTTTTTCTTTTTTTTTTTTTTTTTTTTTTTTTGTAGTGGGAATTGAACTCGGGCCCTTGGGCTTGCCAGGAAGGCACTGTGCCACGGAGTCATATTCCTAGCCCTCAGCTCCCCTTTCTACTGTTTCTCTATTCCAGAATCTTTCCCAGCTAATTACAGGCACCGATGCCTCCCAACTCTCACCTCTGCTCTCTGTCTTTGTTTCAGTTCTTGCTGGGCTGATTTCTGCTTAGCCTTCTCCACCCTGCTGACAGGTTCTTTAACTTTGGATTTTTCTTTACGTGTAGGTGGATCCATGACTTGGTTTCTGAATATGTACTTAGCTCGGACCTGGATGGTATAGAAAGAGGTAGATCTTTTAAAAATGAGAGAGAAAGGCAGGGGCGGGGCGGGGTGGGAGGCAGAGAAGAAGGAAGGAAGGAATGAAAGAAAACAAAGGAGCCGCTGGTCACTCCCCTTACTAATGCCTTCACCCGAGGCCCTTCCTCTGATAGGCCAGGAAGACTAGCCTGGTAGCAGGAGTAAGATTTGAACTCTATCGCCAAGATCTCTCGCTGGAGGCTCCGGTGCAAGTCTCCTCCCCACGATAAGTCTTAATTTCCGGTCTGCAGAATGGGACCACAGTCCTTCGGCAGCCTTCAGCGCGACTCGCTGGGAGCAGGCTGCGGGGCGCCCAGTGACAGCGGCTCGGCTGCGGTCTCGGCAGTGCCCGGCGCCAGTCGGTTGCGGGTGGACAGAGACTCCAGCCCGGCCCGCAGCAGGGAGACCGATGCCCCTCACTGGCCTCTGGGCCCTCCGCCCACGGGGCGCCCAGAGCCCTCCCGGGCCCGCCCCCCGGCGCGCCCCGCCTCGCGCCCAGCCCGCGCGGCGCCCGCCCTCCCCGCCCTCTCCCGGCTTTCCGCGGCAAAATGGCGGTAAGCGCGTCGGCTACGTCCCTACCGGGCCTCGGACTTGGGGCCGCACTGGCCCCACGCGGGGCACACCCGGCCTTTCCTCTTCCACGGGACCCGGAGCGCCGCGCCCGCCGCTCCCGGTCTGGGCGGGCCGCCGAGGGGAGGGCGGGTTCGGGACGACGTTCCCCGCCCGCAGGACCCACTGCGCCTGCGCAGAGAGCTCGGCCAGCCTCTGGAGGGCGGGGCCGGCGAGGGAGGGGTTACAAGGAACACCAGCCCCGCCCTGCAGTTGTTTTGGGAACAGCTGCTAGGTTTTAAAGTGTGTCCCCCAGTACTAGGCTTGGAATTGCTAGGCATTAGAATTCTGAGCCTCGGTTTCTTAATTTGAAAACTGATTGGTGATTGCAAGTTATTTCAGGAGCTTGTTAAGAGAATCCTTTGAGACTGTTCTCCACAGTGCTTTGAAGGAAAGGAAAAGAATTTGACAGCCGTTATAAACACAGAGAAACAACCCAGGGATTATCGAGGAAATGTAAATTGGAATTATTGGCTATCATTTTCCATTTGTTAGATTACCAAAGATACACAACATCCTAATAGTTATTTCTCTTTTGATCTTCCTATATTCTAGGCACTCATTCATGGTGCTTTATTAACTTATTTATTCTACGTAAAAAGTATGTCTGATATATACACGAACAGTAATGAATGACTTTTACCTTCAGTTCACAGGTAAAAGAACAGAGTCACTGACAAGTTAATGGTCTCACAGCTAGTAAGACCAGAGCAAGTATTTTAGCCAAGATTTTCAGGACAATGGCACAGTGAAATGATCAGGTCCACAATCTTTGTTCCTCTATCAAAGTGGCAAGAATTGAAACCAATGGCAGAGTGGCTAGTCCAGATGGACACACATACACTTCCAGTCTTAAGGTGACCCATCCTTGCTGGTGACTAGCTTAGCGCTAGATTCCAAAAGCCTTAAAAATGAGCACGACCACACATTAAGATATTCACTGCGTGATTCCAGTTATGTGACATAACTAGACCTTAAGAAATAAAGTAGAATGGTGGTTGCCAGAGATATGATGTGGGAGCAATTATTGTTCAATGGGTATAGAATAGAATTTATTTTGCAAGATAAAAAAGTTTTAGAGATCTGTTGCAAAATAATGTTAATACTATTTTGCTGTATACTTAAAATGGTTGAAACGGTAATTTTTTTTGCTCCAATTACTGAGTAAACAATTTAATAAGCTATCCTAATAATCCTAGGTAGCACTATTTCTAAGAAGAAACAGCTGGAAACAGCCAGAATCTTTATAGCAGTGAGTTGATGTGATAACTGATAGAGTAGCCATAATGGAATTCTATGCAGCCACTAAAATGACATAAAAGAATGTTCATTGTCACAATAGGATGTTTTTAGAATATTAGCTAAGAAAGCTACAAAAAGGCATATACATCTAATCACAATCTTTGTTGTATGATTTCAGATTATATACAAAGATTATATACACATAGAAAAGAGAATAGGCAAAAACGCACCAAAATCACTAATGCAAACTGCTTTAAGAGAAGGGATGATGATGATGATGATGATGATGATAATGATTTGGTCTTTTTGAGACATAGTCTTATTCTATAGCCCAGGCTGACCTTGAATTCACAGTGATCCTCAGCTTCTCAAGTGCTGGGATTGCAGGTGTGCACCACCATGCCCAGTCCTAGGGATTATTATTTTCTTTATCCTTTCTGTATTTTCTGAAATGTTACAGCAAATATTTATAATTTAGAAATCAAAAGTACAATAAATGTTATTTTTAAATTACTACACAAATTCTAATTGGGTTGTTACAAAAATACCAGAGTCAATTTTATTATGACATGCATTGATTATTTGGAAAATTCTGGTTTGCCAAGGTATGCATATCCTTAAAATGGTGACACATTTCATCACACAACATTAAGAAATCCTCTTCCTCTACCCCTATCACTACCAGTCTTATCAGAAAAGTCTTTCATAATTGGAAAGCTATTAGACAGTAGATAAAATTTTTTCAGAATTTTAACTTTTGTTCAGATTATATTTTTTCCTTGGCAATAAAAGCTGTTAGTCTCCCCCACCCCTTGCAATAAGAGATGCAGCTCTGTTCCTGTGGAGGAAAAAACTTGCCAGGCCCCAGAGTGTGAAAAATCACAGCACCTCAGTTGTTCTCTGAGGTTAGAAAAGTGCTCCATGAGTTTAGTGACTATTTCTGTTCCTGGCTGAGTCACCACAGTGTGTGACCTTGAGAAAGTCATCACACATCAACTATCAGTGAAACAGCCTTTGCACCCTTCCCATTTTGTTCCACAGATACTGAGAGACGGGTTTTAGAGGGTTGAGTTTAATGAAGTTAGTAATGTTTGCTGCAGTTTGGTGCCACTGGATGATGGGTATTAAGATGCTAGCTGTCTTACCCTTGGGATTTTGTAGTGTTTCGCAAACATCAACACAGTGGAAAAGGCTGTAATGTGAACATGGTTTTGACCTGCCTGGTGGAACTTTAGAAGGGTTGCAGAGTTAGGTTCATGAACCATGAGAGCTGCTGCTCTTGAGGAGCTCTAGGACCAGAGCTAGGGAATGGTTCCATCACAAATTTTAGGGCAGGATTGTTTATAAAAGTGGAAGCTCATAAACAACACACATTTCTATTTGACCAAACTGTTAATGTATTTGTACTTCTATGAGGCAAGCCGGATGATTTTTTTCTTACACATTGGATGAGTTGCAGTATCCCAGCTTGTACTCCTCCAAAGCAGAGAGAAACAAGTTCTTCAGCACAAGAGTTTATTTAGAAAGCGAGCCCAGGAAGCAGAAATGGAAGTAGAAAAAAAGAAAGACAAACTGATACATATTTTTGGGCTACTTCCCAGTGAGAGCTGCAGTGACCCAGTCCTACTGGGATCTCTCTGGAGAGTCACAGAGCATTCATTTCAGAACTGTCCCTACTGTCTCCCCTCGCTATGAGTTGATGCCTCCAAGGCACTAACCTTGCTGAACTCCTGGGGACCCTCAGCTGAACTGCCTATTAAGTCTTTGTAGAGAACCCAAGACAGGTAAACAAAGAGATGTTGTAGCCTGTGAGTGTCATCTGGCAGCTTGCCTACAAGTCTCAGCTACACCAAAATTAAGTGAATGGAGGGGACGTAGTATGGGTCATCACAGGAATCTGCTAGACTCAGAAACTAATGTTAAGAGAAAAAAGGAAATCCGAGAAAAATTCTGAACCATGAATGTATCTCTATAAAGTCCAGAATACATCAGAAGTATATAATGCATTGTTAAGAATGCAATATAAATATTACAAATATGAGTCTTGATATTATGAAAGCAAGACAGGCGGGAAAGAATTTATCACGTGTTGAGGGACAGTCAGCAAGTTTGCTTGTCAGAAAGCACAGGTCAAGGTGCAGTTAGAGATAAAGATAGCAAGTTAAAGAATTGACTAATTGGTGGTGCATTTAAAGCCACTCTTCTAATGCACTGTGGTTTGAAAAGTGAAGGGGGACAGCCTTCTAGAGAGGGAGTGATAGGATCAGTCCTGTCCCAGGAAGTCCCTGCGGGCAGTTAGTGGCAGGAGGAAAAGGGAGCTGGTGCAAAGGCCCCTCCTACCTTACAGCACTCTGTGGTTCCCTCACTTTTAGGGAACCCCTTCTTTGGTCTGCTCTTTATCAGGGATGGACAGGCAGGGCGTTGCTTGTTTGTGTATACAGATGAGTAGAAGGGAGTCTGCGAGGTGAGCAAGCTCCTAGCTTAGAGTTTTGATCTTTGGAATAAAATATGAGCTTTTCCCAAGCCCACCCACCAGTCCCTTCCTGACCCCCTGTTCCTTCTGTCTGATGCCAGATCTCCCGGATGGGTCGGGGGTGCTCCCAGCTCAGAGACTCCAGCTCTGCCCCTGAGGGATAAGGAAGGGTCTTGGATTCTGCAGTGGTGAGTCTGCTTTCCTCTCCCTTCTCTTCATTCTTTCAAGTCTTTTTACTTTCCCACATTCATTAGATAATCTCCTCCAACTCCTTTTTTTTTTTCTTATTTGTTAGAACATCTTAGAGGATAAAATGGGGTAACAGCTAACTGTTTTTTAAGGAACATGTGTTTTATTTAAGACTCTTACTTAATAACTGTTGTCATCATTATTAATATCACAGCCCTAACTATTTGCTGGGTCTTGTGCTATATGATTTCAGACTGATCATTTGTAAATTTGTAGGATCTTCTTTTTTCTTGGCACTGGGAATCTAACACACGACTTTGCGCTTGCCAGGCAGGCACCTATGCCATTGAGCTAAATCCCTGGCCCTTGTAGGATCTTTTTAAATTGTTTGGGATTGGCAAGGAAATGTGTGAGGCAATCTTCTTTGTATTTTAATTTAGAAGTTGTTTTTTTTTAAATAAACTGTTTCAAATTTAAATGTACATGACTGCCATATTGCCAACATGCATGGTAGGAGAAAATAATTGCTATAGGAAGACTTTTGCTTGCCATTAAGAGAAAATGCTTCAGTAGAAAAGTGAAAAAAGTACAGAAAGATCAGTGGGAAACTCCCAATAGCAAATGAGTAGTCAAAGATTCACAAACAAAAGTGAAACTCCACTGAGTTTTTAGAAAAGAGGTATCATTTCTTCATTTATGTTGAAAAAGTTTCAAAAATTGATAATATCTGCTGAAGGCAAGGTTGTATGAGAACAAGGAATTGAATATACTTTATTCAACTGACATGACCTTTCTGGCAGGCAATTTGGTAACACAAATTTAAAATCTTGTTTTAAAAATGCAGCTGAACATGGCAGTTCATTCCTGTAATCTCAATTACTTGGGAGGCTAAGGCAGGATGATCATGCATTCAAAGCTGGCCTGGGCAACTTTGTGAGACCTTATCCCAAAATAAAAAATAATAATAATAAAATAAAAAGAATTCTGATGTAGTGTGCCTTGTTTACAAAGGCCTTGGTTTCAATCCCAATACCACCACCATCACCAAAACCAAACAAACAAATAAACAAGAAAAAGATGAGACATTCTCAAGGCCTAAGAGTTAAACTCATAAAGACAAATTAGAGGCCATGCAACCACCAGGACTCAGCCTCTTAATTCTACCTATTACTTGTAGCAGTGTTCAGTATAGCAACATACTGAAAAATAGCCTAAATATCCTACTATGGGATTATTTTAAAAATTATCACATGTCCATGATAGAACGTTAAAGCTGTTAAAAAATAATTGATGGTGTAGTAAAATATGTGTGGTGAAAACAGTGGGCATCAAAACAATAGGTAAAGAATGTGTACTCCCATTATTTAAAAGGTTATATATGTGCTTAGAAAATATTTGAATAAACATTATCTCTGAAATAAGGAATTATAGATGATTAAAATTTTTTTTGTTCTTTTTTAGAGGTAATTTTCAGATTTCCAGTAAGTAGTAGAGAAAAAGCCCCAAATTGTGGCATGTTTTTAGGAAGTAAAATACTGTTATTTATTAGGGAAATTTTCTTCATGAAAGAATTCTATTATATGTGGGAAATTATTTGCTCATTTTGCAACTCATGGTACAGAGCTATGCATTTATTCATTATTTATCATGTATCTATTTATCCATGTTTTACATTCTGCTTCCAGAAAGCTCCTGGCGCCTTCCCTTGCTTAGTACTCTGACACATGCATGGTTGCCCTTCCTGTTGTAAGTGTAAAAGAGAGCAATCCCATCTGCTTTCAGTGTTGTTGTTGGTACTGAACACAATATATGCAGAGTTTCAAGGATGCAATGGGAGTTGTTATATAGAACAATATTAATACTTTGAAAATATATTTACAAGTTAATGTTAATTCACCCTTACACTAATACAATCTAATTACTATAATTATGGTGACCAAATAGTTCTTACATCCATAAGGAAGCATGATATAAAGACCTACTAATACTTCTTATTTTCCCAGTCAATGCTTTGTGAATAAGAGACCTTGCTGAATGGCTCTGGCTGCGGCTTCTATCAGCTAGAACTGTAGAAACCTCCACTTCTGCTTATTTTCCGACCCTCCCCCTTCCTGGTCATGCTTCCCTCCTCCCTTTTATAGACTTATACATGTCTGAGGCTGAAAAATGAGGAAACCATAAGGATTACTTATAATCCTCTGCCCACTCTCAGAAATAGCCACATCCTTCTAAGTGTTTCCCTCTAACTGTGTCATACTATACCTAGTTTATATAAAAAAAAAAAAAAACTGTTTGAAATACAGTGAAAAATTTCCAGGGGTACTAAAGATTGTTCCACCATATGATTATGAAATGCTGCACAGTATTCTCTTCCAAAAATATGTCATAAATAGTTAGCCATTCCTATCTTAATAGATTTTTAGGTTGTTTTCAATTTTTCCCTTTTATAAATAACTGTGTAATGAGCATTCTCACATTAACTGCTTACACATATCCTTATTTATTTCCTTGAGTTTTTTCTGGAAGTAAAATTGCTTTTTTTTGGCAATTTGTAGGTAGCAAATTTTTGCATATTTGTAAATAGCTTGATACTTACTGTTAAATTGTCCTTGTGAAAGTTGTTGGCAATGGACAAGAGAGTCAGTTTGCCCACATGTGTGATCGCTCTGGGTACTTTTTTTCCTAACCTTTGACAGCTTGAAGGAGGGCAAATGATATTTAGCTATATTCTTAACTTGCATTGTTTGGATGACTACAGTGAGAGCTCCACTTCTGATAGTGTCCTACCCTAGGTTTGTTTGCTCCTACAGCTGCTGTCCATTAATCGTGACATGCTTTGGGGAGATACTCCTCTCTCTCAACACTTACTACACACAGTGACAAACTAAAAGGACTTCATTTGTCTCTTATTTCCAGCGTCTGGTACAAATCATTTTATACATATCTTCTTTAATCCCCACTATAACTCTATCCACAAGTATTTTATTTTTACTTTATTTTTTTGCTTCAGGCTTGCCAGGCAGGCACTTATGCTGCTGAGCTAAACCCCCAGCCCTTGGTGAGTACAATTAGTAACTTCATTTCCTGTGTGAGCAAGAGGAAGTCAGATGATTAAATTAACCTGTGTAAAACCTCTAGCCCAGAAATAGCCGAGGTAGCACTGGAACCAGGCTGGCTCCCGTCTTAATCACTTCATCAGGCATCAGTACCTACAAGTACTTATCCACAGAGGTCTCATCCTCCTCGATTGTGTGTAACCCTCATTCATCTAGGAGCTCTGGGTCACACTGGGTGTGTCTACTTGGGACATGTTTCAAAAATCATTAGAAAATTGAAGGGTTTGACTGGCAATGTAGCTCAGTGGTAGAGTGCTTGTGTAGCATGAGCAAGATCCTAAGTTCAATACCCAGCGCTGAAAAAACCCCAAATAAATAAAAATAGATGTTGAGATGGGTTCAAGGATTGTGGATAACTCCAGTATATCCTGGGCCTTACCTACTTACCTTCGGTCAGAACTCAGCTCTTTCTCATTTACTCTTGCTCCATTTCTGAGTAGCTGGTAACATGTAAGAAAGTGGATAGGTCAGAAGCCAAAAAAAGAAAAACTTCCTAATGCATCCCTAACCTTGCTGTGGTCTTTTGTCATTTGCTATGGGATTAGAGAGCTGTGATGTGTGCGTTATGATTAAAAAACAAAGCAACTCCAGAGCAGTGTGCTTTTTACCATGAGAAAAATAGATTTGGAAGTTGTAACATGACTGCATACTATGCATAATTTCAACTTTGGTTTGCCAACCTCCCTTTGGTACCTCCTCTAAGTCTCATCTTTGCCCAATCTATGATACTCTGGGGTCAGACTTGCTGACTTCTTCACAAACCTCGTCCTTGGAAAGAATATGAAACCCTAGAGAGAATTTAAAAAGACTTATCTCTTCCTAGAGTGTTTCTATTTTAAGCTTAATTCTTGGGGCTGGGGATTTAGCTCAGCGGCATAAGTGCCTGCCTTGCAAGCAGGCAGTCGTGAATTCGATCCCTGGTACCGATAAAAAAGAAAAAGAAAAAGACCAAAAAAAAAAAAAATTCTTATGATAATGAAGTGGCATGAAGGATTCTAGTTCCTGCGAAAGGAATTCCAGGCAGTAGCAAGTAGGTGGAGACAATTTTTAGGGTCCCACATAGTTATTGCACATGGTAATCTATACCTCCCTCTTTGAGTTCAGTGGTAATAACAACACCTATGCATTTATTGAGCATTTGTTGGTCATGTAATTGTGCTTTGCATGCATCATTTCCTTAAATCCACTCACCTGTGAAGAAGCCACCCCCAGCCAGCCCCCTTATAGAAGAACCTAGGGATAGAGATGCTACACAACTTTCCTAAGGACAGTGAGCTAGTAAATGGGCAGAACTAAGACTTGAACCCAGGTCTTCCCAACTCCAGATCGTGGGCTTATGCTTTCAGGATGAAATGGAGGGCCCTCAGGGCCTTGGTTTATTATGTGGCAACTTGCAAAGCTGTCAGGGAGGAGCTTCAGACTATATGATGTATAAAGACCGGCTGGAAACTGGCACTTCTCAAGCCAGGCCTGGACCCTAAATGCAGAAAGAAGCTAGTACTTACTGCTACACATTAGTTCTGTGCATCAATTCTTGTTCACTTTTCCAGATTCCTTCTTCCACTTGCTCATCTCATTCCCATTGTCACCCTCATCTACAGCATTTATAGACTTAACCAGAAGGCCACCTTCTGTGCGCAAGCACTCACCTGCCACCATCACAATATGCTGCAAGGAGGCACTGCTGATACACCATTCAGTGACGTTCAGTTGATGCTACAAGCGAGCCAGTGGTGGAGCTGGGGTTGGAAGCCGAGGGGTTCTGTGGTTCCTGAGTGCAGGCCAGGACTCAGGCTCAGCCCCAGCATCTAAGTTAAACTCCCTCAATCAAGCTCCCCACCCTCTTCTGGACTCTGTCGTAGGTGAGATGCAGATGACAAATTCCTCGAGCTCCTGGACGTCCAGCTGTCTCCTCTCTCTGATCTTCCTCCAGCTGTCTGTGCATCTGTCAGGTAGGAGCCTCAGCACCACTCTCCGGATGGAGTCTCCAGAATAAGGAAGCATGACCCTTCTTTTTGGGTTCTGCTCTTCCCCCAGACATTCCCCATGCTCTTCCCAGGTTCCGTCCTTCCCATGGTATCTTCTTCCTTGTTCCTCCCCAAACTCTTTCTACTTTGGTTCCCTCCCAGCTCTTCCTGTCTTTCTTTTGTCCATGCACAGGGGATGTCGGCAAGTCCCATCTGGTCTCGCTGTGGGGCACAGCCAAGCTGCTGTGCCCGCTGTCCCTCTGGCCAATAACCGTGCCGGAGGAGGTAAGGTGGCTGCGGCCCTCTCACCAGCATGGCTCCCGGGTTGTGCATCTGTTCCTGGGTGGGAAGGACAGACATGACGATGTGGCACCAGAATATAAGGGCAGGACAGCGCTTGTGACAGACACCCAAGAAGGCAAGGTCTTTCTGTGGATCCACAATGTGAGCCTTGAGGACCAAGGACCTTACCGATGTCAGATCCAGGTCGGAAACCTGACGCGAGAAGGCACCGTGACCCTGCAGGTTGCAGGTTAGGACGGGTTTGAGGTGCTTGAGGTCATTTTGGGGAATTTCATGGGCTTTGTGAGGACCTGCTTTGTCCCTCCATAGATAGGCTTTTCTTTCCTCAGCAAATACTTTTTACCTGCATCAATGGTCCAACCTTACCAGCCAGGTCCACTACTTGCAGATAAAACTGTGCAATTCTGGCCTCTCCTGAGGAAGAAATCGGTGCTATGGGAAATCTACACAGTGCAGGTTCTGGTTAAACATAGCCAGCAGCTTGTCCAGCTTGTTCACTCAGACAGTAGATTTTCTTTCCTGGGTCATATTTTTTTGTTTCATCACCAAAAAATCCCTAACTGCAGCTCTAAGGGAAAGTCCTAACTGGTCAGAATAACCGGCTGTGAAATGGATTTACTTAATGAGTCCTCTCCTGGATATCGTACTCCAAATATTATAATCCCTTTTCGGGTCCACCTCACAATCTGGAAAGTTATATTTGTAATCCCACAGGAAGGTAATTGGAATTCCAGCTAGTTAGTTCCAATCTAATCTACCACTGTCTATGCAACCAACACAGAGAGTAAAGACACTAAGACATATTCAAAGTTATGGGCAGTCAAGGGGTCCTAAGTCTGATCCAAGTGAGGACATATGGACAAAGGTCTTCATCCAAAACCTCCCCAAAGTGGCTCAAGAATGAGTGACAGTGAGGAAGGCGGGAAGTACATGAGCAAGGTAGGCCAAGCTGGCCGGGTGGAGAGAAAGCACCTCTGCAATATGCAGGGAGAAAAAATGCAGACAGACCAGTGTGCAGGTGATGTGATTAGGTAGCATTTGTGTTTTTAAGGGGCTATTGCTTCAGTTTTATGCTCTGGGAAGTCATAGCTGCTGCTGCTTTTTTTTTTCTTTTCTTTCTTTTTTTCTCTTTCTTTTATTCTTTTCTCTCTCTCTCTCTCTCTCTCTCTCTCTCTCTCTCTCTCTCTCTTTTTTAGCCTTTTTGAGACAGGTCTCACTATGCAGTTCAGGCTGGCCTTGAGCTCACTTTGTAGCCAGGCTGGTCTCAAACTTGTGACAATCCTTGTGTCTCAGCCTCCCAAATGCTGAGATTACAGGAGTGTGATACCACACCAGGCTCATAGCCTTTTAAATTGAGACTCATACCCGTGACATTCTTGGAGTTATATGGCTCTGCCATACTGCTGTGTTTAACCATGTATGGGGAACATGATGTGAGGAAACAGGAAACTGTTGTTTGGTCTCAAAGATTAGGTATTAGTACCTCAGCTAGCCTTATTTGCATTGCTTAAAGCCAATTAAAGAGAGAAGGAAATAGCTTAGCCAGCTCTGTTTGTAGCAATACGTGAAGACAGGTCCTCTTTTAATTAATGCAGAGGTAACAATTCTGCATTCAAGGGGAGCTGTCCACTTGGACTTTGACCCTGGGGTTCCTAAGTCTGTAAAATATCAGAAAGGTAGAGATAGTGTCTCTCAAATGGACCTCAGTATTAAAACAAAACAAAACAAAAAATCAGCCTACTAAACCCAACCCCACCTGATTCAGCCCAAGTCTTTGAATTTGCTTGGGTGATACAAGCCCCGCATAGTTATACATTGATTCTTTTTCGGTCAATAACTTAGTCATATACCAAAAAGAGAGTGTGTGACTACTTTAAATCAACCTCTTTAAAACACCCAATAGCTAGTATAAAGATGTTTTCCAAACGTGAAAAATGACTTTGGCTTGCAAAGTAATGTTTTAAATGGGGATTGAAGGGCCAGGGATTTAGCACAGTGGCTGAAGCACTTGCCTGGTAAGTGCAAGGTCATGAGTTTGATGCCCAGTAAAAAATAAATAAGTAGGGATTGAAGTGCCTATGAAAGCAGGTGATGCAGCTACTGCTGTGAGTGGATTCTGAAGTGTGTTTGGATAAAGCTAGAGACCGTCTTTTCCCACTGGGAGGAGAATGTGGTGGGAGAGGTAGAAGTTAAAAGTTTCTTTGATGGTTGCCCTTGTTCATCAGAGGAGGTTGATGTGTGGGCGGGGTCCTCTGCACACAGGGCTCTGACTAGAACCACACACATGCTGAGCCCTGCCAGTCTGTCCTCTCCAGTTCCCTGCTCTGATCTTTAGGTATGATGCTGGATGGACCCTGCTCAATGAGATGGTTCCAAAAGCTCTGGGGCAAGTGGAGAAATCCTGAGGGTAGGGTGCTTCTATCTCTGTGTGAGGTCCACTCCTTGGACAGACTGGGCTCTTCTGAACAGCAACATCCAGCCTGGTCAGGGGCAGTGCTCTAGGTATGAACTTTTTTCTTGGTGGTGATGCTAGAGATTGAACCCAGGACCTTGCACATTCTAGGCAAGTGCTGTACCACTGAACTATAGTCCCATCCTTGGGAGATGTGTCTTGTACTGTCTGCAACATAGTCTTTAGCCAACAGAAGAGCACAAGTGTGGTCATCGTGCACCACCGGTGAAAAACAGGCTTGAAGTACCTGAGAGGTCTAAAGGAAGCTCCTACCCTTGTAGAAACTTTTCAATTTTTAATTTTTAAAATTCTATTGTAGAAAATGAAAAATATGCAAAACATTGTAAAGCAAACAAAAATGACCTTCAGTCTCGTAACTGAAGAAGAACTACTGCCATCATTTTGACGTATTTCTCTCTAGACTTTCTTACATGCTTGTACATCCAAGTAGTGTGGATGGTTGTGTGTGTATTCTTGGCTTAGGTTTCCCCCCACTGCCCATGTCATGAGAAATTTTTGCCTATGTCCTTAAGTAATTTTTTGTAACATGATTTTAGATGATGCATAGGATTTCATCATGTGGTTACAGAATAATAAAAAAATCAGTCTGTTTTGGGTTTAAAAACTTCTTTTTCTTTTACATCATAACTAATGGTACAATGAAGATCTCTGCACATATTGGGAAAGTGGTTCTGATCATTAGAATGTGTTTCTCGAAGTAGAATTAATGTGTTAAAGGGCATGAGCCTTTAAAAGACTGTGAAACATGTGGTCTTATGGCAGGGAATTATGATTTCAGAGCCACGGAAGGTATACAGTACCTGGAAATTTGGGGTGAAGAGGGGCCAGATATCTGTAATCCCCCTTTTTCCTGCCTCTGTTCCGAGCCCTCTTTTCTTATTACCGACATTGCTCCTCCCTAGGTGCTAAGTGGTTAATCTGACAGATTTTTTTTTTTTTTTAAAGGTACCGGGGATTGAACTCATGACCACGCACTTGCAAGGCAGGCGCTTATGCCACTCAGCTAAATCCCTGCCCCCAAATCTGACAGATTTTTAAAAAAATCTCCCTCAAGTCCTAGGAAACAGTGCCCTTTATTCCCATTTGACAGATGAAGCAAATCAAGCTGGGAGAGGCTGAGTCCCTTGTATAGAATCACATAGTAGTTGAAAAAAGACACACCACTCGTTGTAGCTCTTCTTTTTTCCTTCTCTTTTTCTGTTCTCTTTTCCCTCTTGGCTAGGCTTTAGGCCTGCTGCAGTGGCGTCCAAAGCTTGCTTTGCCCCTGCTGTTGGTGCTCAGGGAAAAAAGAGGCTGCTGACTGCTGTTCCAAGCAGGCAAGGATTTGAAGGGGAAGCAGACAAGTGCTCAAGAAGGGGGTGTGGGTGATTACTAAGGAAAGCACCTGAGGGTCTCTGGAGCCCCCACATTATTTTGTCCTACAGAGTTTAGGACAGAACAAGACTGTGATTGAGAAGCTGACTTTAAAACATCCTCAGTCAGTGCCACCGAAACCCTTCCTGGGAGATGAACATTTCACTGATCTTTAACACTCTCCGGAGTTGGATTTAGCATGAGAAGCAGGGGGTCTCTTGGTTGGGGTCTGTCCCTGGAGGTGATGGCGGCAGTTGGGACGGGTCAGGCGTGGGAGCATCTGAGGTGTGGGAGCAGCTCTCAGATGCCTCCCTGAGGGTGCTCACCGATGTCTCTTTCAGTCCCCTCTTCAGAAAGACTCTCCTCCTCAGCAGTGGCTCTGGTTGTGGTCCTACTTGTGCTGGGGCTGCTCATCGTAGCAGGCATTTATGTCATCTGGAAGCAAAGACGATCTAAAGGTAACTAGGTGGTTAGGTGGCCTAGGCTGTGGAACTATGGCTGCTTTGGGAAAACAAAAGAAGGATGTAGACATAGGTGTGATGCTTGCCCATAGGCTGGAGACTTCCCAGGTAGACTGGGAGAAAACTGGGAGAGTGTGCCCTGGAGTCTCACATTGCACAAGGAATGCGATAAAGTGCCAAAGGCCCTGGGCAGATTTACAAATGCTCATCCTCTGAGAAATTAGACAGTAATTGACTATGCTAGCCATCTAGTTAATTAAGAAATTAAAACCTTCTAATCAGGAAATCCAATTACATTCATTTGATTAAACCCCTGTAAAAATGGTCACATTTCACAGGACCCCATAGTTGCAATGGTCTTAGAAAAATATACAAGTCAATTTCCCCCTCATCTTCCTCCATATGATGGCTTGAAGGTCTTGTAGTCTTTTCAAAAGGTTACACACCCATAATGACCAGCAATCAGTCCTACTCAAGCAGCTTGGGTCATCTTTGGATAGCTATGCTTGTTAGAAAAAGCTCTTCTGAAGTTCGAATTACTTCTTTCTCTGTCTCTCCTTTCTAGAAAAGCTTCTCTATGAACAGGCGTTGCAGGTAGGTAAGTGTCTCAGGCTGGGGTGGGGAAGATGTTTCTGTTTTGTTGATTTCTGTATCCCACGCTCAATAATTAAATTCTAGGTCTGAAAGTTCCATCACCCATTGTTCTTGGTGGTGGTAATGGTAAGTAAACTCATTGCTTCCAGTGTTTACTGGCTTTTAGACCTGTAACAGCTTACCTGTCAGTGTATTTGGTGATTTCTGTCTGTGAGCTCATTACTTGGTCTTCTTCTTTGGGAGTTATGTAGGCCAAACCTGGGGAAGCCTTTATTCATTCAATAAATAATTTATAATTAATCTACTAAATTCCCTTGACCATACTAGACTCTTGAGATACAGTGGTGAGCAAAAGCAGACACAGCTCTGCCCATCTAAAGCTTCCAGTCTAGCCAGGGAGATTACATACATTAAATAATCTCTCAGATAGTTTGTACAAATGCCATGAAGGAAAGCTCCCAGCTCTATGAAGACTGTGACCAGGAGAACTAACCAAGCCTCTGAGCGCAGGATGTGATGTTCTACCTGAAGGATGGGAAGTCATCAGTTAGGAGAGAATGGAAAACCCCCGACAGCAGAAATAACAGCTGAGGAAGAAACATGGTCAGGAAGAGCAGTGTTCACACAAGGAGCTAAAAGGTGCAGAAATGAGGAGAAAGGTGGCAGAGCTGAGTCATGAGGCATTTTGAAATCATGTTAAAATTTTTAGTCTTTCTCTTAAACACCGTGGTAAAGCAATCAATGGGGATATCTGGATCAGAGTTGAGCTTTGAAAAATCTCTTTCTGGCTGCAATGTTAAGAAAAGACAAAAAGAAAGAGAAGGAAGAGGAGGAGAAGGAGGAAGAGACAAGATGTGAGGGGCAGTATGGGTTGCTGTTTGTGTCATCCTGATGAGACATCAAGAGAGAGTGGATCCGGGAGGGAGAGGGAAGAGAAGACAGACAGATTCAAAGCAGGTAGAACCAAAAGGTCCTCAAAGTGATGGCAAAACATTTTATTTTCTTTTCCTTTCTTTCCTCTAGAAAATCTTCTCGAAGATCATGCAAAAGAAAAAGGTAATGATGCGTAAAGAGCAAGGGTGAGGAACAGGGAGTGCATTAGCTCTCCTCGTGTATAATTACTGACCCTCTGTTAATTTTATTGGAATTCAGTTTCCAGCACCAAGGGGCTATGGAGTTGGTAGCAGTGAATCAGGGGATGCTCATGATCAAAATGTATATAGCATTGGGTCCTCTGGAGCTCCTTTCATCAACCTTTCTACCAGTCTCTGAAAGGAGAGTCTACATGCGGTTTAAACACATATTAATATGGTCATAGAGAATTATGAAAATCAAGAATCCATACAACACTGGCATGGAGAGAGGAGATGTGATGTAAGGGAGGACCACAGTCAGCGACGCCTGACTCAGATCAATGGTCTGCTGCTTATTGGTCTTGAATCAGTCACTTTGCTGTTCTGATCTTTGGTTTCCTCATCTGTAAAATGGGGAAAATAAGTATACTCTTATCTAATTGTTGTCAGTATTAAAACCTTTTAAAAAGAGATCTTTCACAGTACTAGAACTCCTTTCCCTTATTGCCAGCTTACCTTCACTAATCAAATGTGTGCCCTGGGCCACTGAGGGTGAAAATTAGACAACCTTTTGAGGTCTAGCTAGGAAGACAGGTCACTGGCTCAGATGACCCCAGATGCAATTGTAGTGTGATCTCCTCTCCCCATCTTTATGTTTCCTCCAAGCTGGTGAAAGTGTGAGGTGTACACCGTAGACACTGTGGCTGTCCTCCTCAAGGGTGGATGGGAACAGTGTGTGTGATGTGAAGTCAGACTGGGGTTTGAGTCCCGCCTCCTTGGCTACTTGTTAGCTGGATGATCTTGAGCATATTTCATGGCCCCTGAGCCTCAAGTCCCTCTGTTAAGCAGGAATTATGCAATGCATGTGTACCGCACATTGTTGAGAAGATTCAGCACCTACCTTAGTCTGTGTAAACAAATAGAAAACAATCAATAGAAGCTGTTAGTAGTAGATACGGCAACAGTTAACTACAACACCCAAGGAGCTGTGATCTCTATTCAGTCTCATTATTCCAGAACCAAACCCATGTCCAGCCCATTAGCACAAGACCCGGAAGTGGTCTCTTATATAATTTAAATGCTCTGGCAGGACCAGTGCTAGGTAGGAGATGATGTGGTCTGGATGGCCCCCCAGAGAGACCTCAAGTATTGCTCAGAGAGACCTCAAATATATATATATATATATATATATATATATATATATATATCCATCCAAACCCTTCTTAGACTTCCAAATTTGTGACAATTATAACTTCAGGGAAGTTACTATAAAACAATCATGACATCATATTAACAAGTCAATATTAGGCCTTCAGCTAGTTTTGCACTTTAGACATCAGAGACAGTAAACTGAATACAGCAGCAAGACATGCACCCTGGACTACGATTGCAAACATACAGAAACAGTCAGCAGAAATGAAACCAGACAGTCAAAAAGGAAAAGAGGAAGCAAAGACTGGGCAGATTGGGTCATCAGGAAAAGGGCACTGGCACCATTGGATTCCTTAGTCTGACCCCTGGGACAGAGACCTTCCCATCATGGGGGATGGAGTGCTGAGCTTCCCAGGGCCTGTGGGACCAAGGGACAGGATCTGATTACTCACTCCTCTCTTTCTTTGGTTTGTAGGAAGACTCCATAAAGTCATCAGTAAGTCCTGCTCCTCCTCCACGGTACAAACTTCTCTCTGCTGGCGTTTTTGCTTTTAGATGAGTGCTTTAGTTTTACTTTCTGGACAGAAGGAAGTGAATAAACAGAATTCAAGTCACAAGACTGGGATTTCTTAGCTCTCAAAGGCCTCTTTTCTCATGTCCTTCTGCTCCCTTTCCTCCCCCCCTGTTATCTAGTCTCTAAATGAGAAATACTTCACCAAGGAGAGATGTACTTTTCAAAGGTGACGCAATCTACAAGTGCCCTTTATCACGCAGGCATGGCCTTGTCTTAGGTTGAGGTCCGAGGCAGACAGATCTCCATCAAACTGAATATGCTCGAGCAGTGCTTTTCTGCCATTGCATTTGTAAGAACTTTTTTTTTTTCAATATTAGAAACAATCTTTAGTCAGGGATGGTGGCACATGCCTGTAATCCTAGCACTCCAGAGGCTGAGGCGGGATTATGACATTTGAGGACAACCTGGGCTACATACTGAGTTCAAAGCCAATCTGATCTACATGGTGAGACCCTGTCTCAAAAAACCATAAAAGAACTGAAAACGCTACATATAGGTTTTATTATATATATGGTTTTGTGGGGGAGAAAATATACACAATAACAAAATGACTCAGTGTTGTTTTAAATGAACTTGTAAGCTTAGGATTACAATGGTAGAGGTGCTTGCATAGCATGCATGAGGCCCTAGATTAGGTCCTCAGTACTGTAAAAAGTTTAATATATATGTGTGTGTATATATATCATATATAATATATATATATATATAAACATATCCTCCCAGAATTTCTACATCCGTTTCTATTTGTCACTACCTGTAGGTGTGAGATGTAGCATTATGTGGTCCACAGGTAAGGCTTGGTTTCCGTAAGAACTGCTGGCTCTCGGTCCTACTCTGGGGATGGCCCAGGGCCAGGAGCTATTGCAGACATTCTTACAGGAAAGTTCCAGGTTATGGCTATTGAGGATCTGCTCTTGGAATATGGGTGGAGGGACAGGAACACTGAGGCTAGACAGTAGCCCACATTCTGATTTGTCAAACTGTTTTTATTCTCTAGAGAAACTCCGGAGTGAACTGAGTAAGTTTCTCGTGTTCTTATAACTTCTATACCAACTTATCTGCTATTGCCCCGGCATTTCCAGCGAGAGCTCATCTTTTTTGTTTCTTCTCTCGTAGAACTGAAAAGAAGTGCAGCCAACTCAGGTGAGATGCACTTGCCCTGCGTTTGATGCCCCCTCCCCACCGAGTTCTCATTTTCTCTAGTGCTTTAATGATCCCCTTGTGTTAGTCATCTTTACTTCATTGCGACAAAGTACTTGAGATAAACAATTTAAAAGGAGGGAAGATTTGTTCTGACTCACACTTTTGGAGGTTTCAATCCATAGCCAGCTCAACCATTGCTTCTGGGCTTCTGGAGAGGCATAAGTTCTGATTAAAAAAAAATTCAGCCAGTTGTGATGGTGCATGCCTGTAATTCCAGCACTTGGGAGGCTGAGGCAGGAGGATTGCTGTGAGTTCAAGGCCAGCTTAAGCTATAAAGTGAATTCAAGGCTGGCCTAAACTGCAGAATGAGACCTTGTCTCAAAAAAAAAAAATTGTAGATAAATGGATGCAATTTAAGAACATGATAGTTGTACCCTTACACTGTTTTGTTTTGTTCTGCTTTTTTTTCTCTTTTTCCTTTTAAATAAAATATTTTTTAAAAAAAGAACATGATAGTAAGTAAAATAAGTCAGACACACAAACTTAAATAGCACATGGTTTTTCTTACGTATAATTAAAATATATAGAAACTACACAGCTTTTGCAAGTGGAAAGGAAACCAAGAGTTAGAAAGAGAAGGGAGAGGTAGGGGACATAAAAAAAAGAAAAAAGAATTAAGATGTGTTATGTACACATGGAAACTCTCCAGGATAAATGTAATCATTATGTATTGCAATAATGTACTAATAAAAAAATTTAAAATACAGTGTATGTTCAATCTCAGATGTCCCCTAAAAGCTTGTATGTTGGGGGCTGGGGATTTAGCTCGGCAGCATAAGCGCCTGCCTTGCAAGCAGGCAGTTGTGAGTTCGATCCCTGGTACTGATAAAAACAAAAAAGACAAAAAAAAAAAAAAAAAAAGCTTGTATGTTGAAGGCATGTTATGCTGCTGGGAGGTGATAGAACCTTTGGCAGTTGGGGCCTAAAAGTCAGAAAATTTGGGGGCATGCCAGAGAAGGAGATAGTGGGACCCAGCCCCTTCCTCTTTGCTTTGTGGCTGCAATAAAAAAAAATAAGAAAATTGTTAAACATAAAAGACACATTGCCATTAAATATCCCTCCTCCTTGGGAGGCTGAGGCAAGAGGATTGCTATGAGTTTGAGGTCACTCTGGGCTACATAGTAAGATCCTGTCTCAAAAAAGCCAAAAAAAAAAAAAAAAAATTCCTCCTCAATTCAAACACACTTATCCCATTGTTCTTACCACTTTCTGAAGCAGCTCTGGAAGCCTCCTTCTTGAGTGTCATTACAAGAGGTGATAAAAATATAGTGAGTGCTACCCTAGCGTGTCATCTGATAGAAAGATGAGCTCGTAAAAAACATTACGGTAACCGATAAAAACGAAAAAGACCAAAAAAAAAAAAATTACAGTACATCCTCATCTATGTCACTGGATCTGGCACTGGGCTCTGCTCCAAAGTCAAATTGGTCATGAAGGTTAGACATTTTAAATTGATTTGAGACATTGAAACAACCACAACAACACAACCAGACATGAAAAGGACTTCCAGAGCTGCTTCAGAAAGTGGCAAGAACAATGGGATGTGTTTGAAGAAAGAGACAGCATTTGAAAGGGGATTAATGGCAATATACTCTTTTCACTCTCATGACATTTTTAAAAAGTTAAATGTTATAGTTTTTTTTTGTTTGTTTTTATGATACAGAGTCTCACTCTGTAGTTCAGGCAGGCCTATACTCTCGTATAGCCCAGGCTGGTCTTGAACTCACAGTGATCCTCCTGCCTCAGCCTCCCAAGTGCTGGGATTACAGGTGTGTGCCACCACACCCAGCTCCTGCTGTAGTTTTTGATCACACTTACTAGGAAGCTTTTCACTTCATGCAGACTGCAAGCAAAGAGTAAGACAGGAAAGAGGTAGAGTCCTAACATCTCTTTCTGTGGCATGCTCCTATGACCTAACTGCCTCCCACCAGGCCCGGCCTCCCAACAGCACCCTATGCAGAGGAACAAACCTTCAACACATGTCCTTTGGAAGACATTCAAGATCCAACTATAGCATCTTTTTCATGTCTTTCAGGCTGGAGAAGAGCCCAGCTGCATTTTGGTAAGTTATATCAATCAGATTGATCCTCATTTCAGAGTTCATCCTTCTGAAGGCTCTGTAACCTTAGGTTTACTCCTTCTGAAACTAAATTGAAATTTGAAAAGAAATTTTGTCACATCTGTTTACCTGCCTCCTCCCCATACTGAGATACACTGCACTCCCAGTAGTATGTAGCTTTATCCACATCCTTTTTAAAATTTTGACACTGGTTTCCCAAGTTACCCAGGCTGGCCTCAAACTTGTAATCTTCCTGCCTCAGCCTCTTGGATAGCTGAATTGCAAGTGTGGCCCACTGTACTTATCAAATTTTTAAAAATCTTTGTGATTTTTTTCTGAGGGTCACACTTCGATTTGGAAAGTCTCCTTCAAAGCACTGATAAATATTAGGATCTTATGAGATTCTTGTGAATTTTTTTGAGATTTTTCCTAAGTTTATCACTTGTTTCTTTTTTGTGATTTGTCTGGAGCTATCATAGTTGGACTGCTCTTTAACTGTTAACTTCCTGATAGTATTTTTTTTAATGTGCACGTATTTATTTTATGTAGTCAAATGCACTAATCTTTACCTGTGTGGTGTTTTCTGTGCTTTCTGGTTTGGGAAGTCCTTTCTAGCCCACGATGAGGTAAACAGCCACTGTTTCTATGCATTTGCCACAGCCTTCTTTCTCTGCAGACCAGTTTTCTTGGGGAGGGAAAGTGACTAAGATTCTTAGAGAAGGGCATGAGTTGGCAAACGCCCCAACAATTATAAACTGCAAAAAGGCTTCGTAGCATTATTCTAAAGTATTTATACATCTTTCTTTGCATCTATTCCTTAATAATTTATATTTTTGCAACCATTCGAACAAATTGTTATTTTTGCTGCTTTGGGCAGGCCCTTAATTCCCTTCCTGTTCACTCTGTCTTTTTTTCCTACAGAGCACAGGCAGAATTGACTAGTTGATCACTTGAGTCAACAGAGGTCACCTAGATCGGCACTGCAGGAACTCATAAGCCCTCTGGTTTTGCATTTACAGTCTAGCTTACTCCCACTACCTCCACCAAATAAGGATTTCATGGATTAGAGAAGACCCTGTTTCCTATACTTGGGGGAGGAACTATGACCTTCACAATCAACAACTTAAGGAAAAATCTTTCTCTCTCTTAACATTTTAAAATGATCATTATAAACAACAATTTTGGGTAACAAAATGAGCACCACACAAGTCACTGTAGGAACAAGGCACAATCTCATGCATTAACTCATTAACTGCACGTGGCAATGCTCCAGTCTAGGTTCTAGTGTGGTTCTCATTTTACAAATGAGGAAACATAAGCTTAGAGATGAGTAACAAACCCAAGACCATGGATGCAAAAGCTGGGACTCAAACATGAATCCTCTTTATTATCATGTATTAGATTTCATTGGAACATCAAAAACAAAGGTAGTTTTTGTCAAGATTAAGGCAATTTCACAGACAGGTCAACTTTTTCCTCTTTTATCTTGTACCCTTCTAGGTGACCTACTCTTTGAAAGAGAGTATTCTTTAGTTCCAGTATGTGTGAGGGGCCAAGGACTCATAAAAAAAATGGGTCAATGATAGTGATTGTAGAACTATAGATTATTTTTTTTCCCAAGCTACGAAAGATACATTAAGACCCAGCTTTCCAAAACCTCACCTCTCTTTGACCCTCTGCAGAGGCAGTGACCCTGGATCCAGATACAGCACATCCCAAACTCGTCCTGTCTGAGGACCGGCGCTGTGTGAGACTTGGCGACAGAAAGCAGGATGTGCCCAGCAACCCACAGCGATTTGATTTTGTTGTCAGTGTGCTGGGCTCTGAGTACTTCACGGCTGGCTGTCACTACTGGGAGGTGCACGTGGGAGGCAAGACCAAATGGATCCTGGGGGTGTGTAGTGAGTCAGTGGTCAGGAAGGGGAAGGTCACTGCCTCGCCAGCCAATGGACACTGGCTCCTGCGCCAGAGTCGTAGGAATGAGTATGAAGCTCTCACATCCCCGCAGACCTCCTTCCGCCTGAAAGAGCCGTTAAGGTGTGTGGGGATTTTCCTGGACTATGAAGCTGGCATCATCTCCTTCTACGACGTAACTAAGAAATCCCACATCTTCACTTTCACTCACAGTTTTTCCGGCCCCCTCCGCCCTTTCTTTGAACCTTGTCTTCATGATGGAGGGGAAAACACAGCCCCTCTAATGATTTGTTCAGAACTACAGAAATCAGAGGAATCAACTGTCCCCAAGCCAGAAGAAAAGGCCCATGCTAATGGAGATGTGTCCCTGAAAGTGGACCCTTCCTTACTGCCCCCTCCAGTCCCGGAGCTTTTACCTCTCAATGACATGGTCCTGTCCTGGCCCTCTGACCTTGGCCCAGCCCTTCAGAAGCTCAAAGTTCCTTCTTTTTAGGGCTATGCCTCATGAACTGCTCCCATGATCCCCAAGACTTCAAGGCTCCTGGTTCTAGAATGTCTTTTCTCCTTAACTCAAATCCAGACTCTTTTGTGTTTTCTATTTGTACCACTTTTTTTTTTTTTTTTTGTCTTTTTCCTTTTTATCGGTACCGGGGATCGAACTCACGACTGCCTGCTTCCAAGGCAGGTGCTTATGCCGCTGGGCTAAACCTCCAGCCCCTTGTACCACTTTTTTCCTGCAGTTCTGTTCTAAACCCTGCCTTTCTTCCAGGGACTTGAAGCTCCCGTTGCTCTAGGAGAATTCCCAAAAACCAAATGCTCAGTTTAGATTTAGGAGAAAATGTTGAATATGTGCCACCAGGTTTAACTCAGGATTAGGGGAAGCATTCTCTACTAGAAGGGGTATTTACAAGAACTTCTACCTGTCTTGTTCTGTGCTCCAGCTTCAAAGTTATAACTCCCAAGCCCCAACTTCTTAATTTTCCACTAAGGAGGGATCACTATTTTCCTTCTTTCTCTCTGTCCTTCCCTTCTCCCTCTCCTTCTTTCCGTCTCTCCTTCCTTCCTTCCTTCCTTCCTTCCTTCCTTCCTTCCTTCCTTCCTTTTTCCCCCTCTCCCAACTCTGGCCCCCAAAGTCAGCTTTTTAAAAGTAAATATATTCTGGATCACACATCCTCATTCTTCTTTCAGAAATGAGGGTACGACAGTAGGTTAAAACATGCCATTCTTGGGCTGGGGATGTAGCTCAGTGGCACAGTACCTGCCTGGCAAGTTCAAGACCCTGGGTTTGATTCCCAGTACTAAAAAACCAAACTAAACCAAACCAAACCACAAAAACCATGCCATTCTTTTCTATTATTTTAAATGCAAGAATGGTGATTAAACCCAAGGCTTTTGTACTAAACTCTATCCCTAACCCTTTTTTCTTTTTTCTTTTGAGACTGAATTGCTAAGGTGCCCAAGCGAGGCTCAAACTTGTGACATTCCTATCTCAACCTTACAGAGTGCTGGGAATTTGCTATTTTTTTTAAAATGCCATTTAAAACATAATTAGGAAACATCCAGAATAGCAGCCCTAATTCTGAGACGTCGTAAGAACAATCGAGCTGGGAGACACAGCTGCCAACACGACAGTTCAGCTGTGTGTGCTCTAAACGGACAGGAGCAGATGAGTCATCAGCTGTGCTGGCCTTTTATATACCTTCCTGGACTCAGGGAGGCTCAGTGGCAATTTTAATCACGTGTGAGAGCTTTTCCCCATGACTGTTAATAGCCGCTTAGACAAGACAGTATTGATTTCAAAGAAGCTGGCAGCCTTCTCATTTGAAAGATGTGAGGATAAAATAATGAATCTGATTTTTGGGTGTGGGTTGCAGAAAGAAGGCTGTTCACTTTCAGGTCCACCATATATGTGATCTGGCCTGTTTGTGGAGATACTGGCTCTGTTCGCAGACGGCTACATAGTTTGGCTCCACAGGAATTAGGTCTGTCAATCAGAAGTCTTCCCTTTAGTGCCTATATTATCAAAGAAATAGTTCACAATCATTCATGTGTTGATGGAGGCTGGCAGGCTTGAACTCTAGGATGAGCCAGTGTTTCAGTTCAAGTCTTAAAATGTGGGAAAAGCTGATGTTCAGTGGGAAAGCTGTCAGGAAGAATTGTCTCTTAATTGGGGAAGTCAGCCTTTTGTTCTATTCAGTATATTCTTCAAATGTCCTCATAAGATGCATTCACATTAGGGAGAGAAGACTGTTTCACATTTTTTTAAAAATTTAAGTGCTAATCTTATCTAAAAACATCTTCAAAGAAACACCTAGAATAATGTTTAGCCAAATTCTGGGCACTTTGTGACCTAGTCAAACTGATACAGAAAAATTAACTATCATAATGCCTACATGGAATTTTTCATTTGCTTTTATATAGTTCTTAAATAAAATGTTTGCTATTCACTGTTCAGCATGCTGTTGTTTTCATTTTAAATGAAAAATTGCTGAGACTTTGGTTGCTGGGAGAAAAACATTATGAGACTGGTTTCTAAACAGTTTTAAATCTACTCAAGTAAGCTTTAACCACAATTCATAATAAAACCAGTTTTATTTCTGAGTTTGCCTTATAGTATTTTATTTTTTAATCAAAAACTTTTTTTGTGTGTGTGGTACTGGATATTAAATCCAGGGTCTCAAACATGCTAGACAAGCACTCTATCACAGTGTTACATTCCTAGCCGATTTCAATTTATTAACTAAAAACAATGATCAGCTATCTACTAGTGTACAACAGATACTTATATTTCACTCACATACACTTAGTTCTGAACATTTCCTAAATACTCCAGTTTTGAAAGTAATTTATAATATTTTCACTGGCCCTACACATTGAGAAAACTTAACCAGCAGGAAATTAAACAATGTGAAAGTAGAAGCTTTTATATATCTTTGCATTAGTCTGTCATCTTTCTATGAACTCATTTGATCCTTATAACAATTCTACAAGGTAGTTTATAACAGAGGAAAATGGTGTTTCAAATGGTTAGATAATAGAGTTGGGATGATAAACCTGGTCTGTCTAGCTCTGATGGCATGGTTTCTCCTACTCCTTTTTTTCCCCTTTGCATTGAAATACTCTGCAGATCTTGAGAAGTCTTTAGTTAGCCTGCATAACTTAGTCTTTATCTTTTAAAATAGAACATGAAAAATAAAATCCTAGTCCTGGATACTTTAGTGATATTGTATATCTATTTTTGAAAGTGTCATATTTAATCGGAGATGCATATAGGATCTAGAAGCTCCTCGTTAGGAGGTAGAAGTTTCCTTGGAAGTGGACAGGAAATTGAGCAAACTCCCTTCTAGGTCCACACTTACTTAATTTTAAACTATAAATTTTTTTTTAAAAATCAGTACCAGGAATCGAACTCAGGACTGCAGGCGTGCAAGGCAGGCGCTTATACCGCTGAGCTAAATCCCCAGCCCCCTAAACTATAAATCTTGAGCGAGGTGCCAGACTGTAGGCTTCGTTGCGTGTCCAGAGGATCTTCAACGATCACCACTCAAAGTAAAGCACAAGGGAAACCTGATGACCTCAGATGCGAAGCCAGTCTCTACTGCCAGTTCTAAACTTTGCAGAGGTTCTCTGTGAGGTCAGTTTTATTTAGGACTACAGCTCCCAGTATGCCACGCACGAGGCTAAAGATTATTGGTGCTACCGCCTGGGTGTTTGTATTGTGGCAGGTATTGTAGCCAATGCAGAAGAAGGTCCGCCCCCACAAACCAATCCCAGAGCCGCAGGGCAGGCCTTCCTGGGTTCTGTCTCCGGCTTCTTCCCGGCCCCCAACAAGCGGCGCTGTCCCTGGCCAAGCGGCGGGAGCGAGGTGGGTCCCGGCTGGGCAGAGGTTGCGGGGAGGCGGATACAGCTTTGCAGGGTACTCTGAGGACGACCGCGGACTTGGATGCTGCTACTTTACTCCGTGGCGACAGTGGGAAGCAAAAGGCCCTGTGGTCCCGCCCAGACCCTTGTCCCGCTCCTCCGGCCCTTGCGGTCCCCACATCAGCTCCGCCCTTCTTCGCCTAGCTTTTGAGTGCTTTCAGGCCCGCCACTGACCATACGCTGGGGATAAGCCGCTCGTTCATTCTCTTCTATCCTGAGGTGTCTCTGAACCTAGCACCTGCCTTCCACAACGCTGTGGACTCTTCCGTCGACTTCTCTCGCCCTCTGGACACAGCCCAGCCTCTGGGTCCCTGGTCCTCCAACACCTCTGATTGCAGCCTTTGTCTCTTCTCTCCCACTTATCTCCTCAGATCCTCGGACTTCTCTGGTCCTCTCTGTCAAACATGTTATTTAGCTCTAATGCAGAGCTTCCCTAGTTCTTCTGCACTCCACGACTTGGCCCCACATCTGGAACTTTGGCCCTTTGATCACATTGGGTTGGTCTTCTTTCCTCCAACCCAGGGCCTTGGCCTTCATTGTCTGTGATCACCAGGCCCATCTTCCCTGCTTCTTCACTGCCTGAATCCATTCCACCCTGTATTGCTAAGCCCCTAAAGAAGACCAGCCCAGTAGGTCCTATTCCCTCCCAAATCTTAGAAAGGTGGCGTGAACCTGATTATATTTTATATTTTAGCTGCATTGCCTTCTCAATTAGTAGTGAATGTCCTTTCTCTACTAGTCCTAGTCTTGCTTACTCACCCATCCTGAAAGTCCTAGCTTATCAGAGACTTGGTCTAGCCCCTAGTCTCCTCAAATGAGTACAGCAAAGGCTTAAGTAAAAAGAAACAAGGGGTATAGTTTTTGTAAAATCTAGGAAGGTCAGAACTCTTGAGAGTAGAGACAAAAGACTCTTCCAGGTCACCGTATTTATTCGGTTTTCACAGATTTGGGGAGCACAGGAAGAGGAGATACCCTGTCAAGTTAGAACAAAGGCAGTAAATTTTGCTAATTAAGAGAACTGTTCAATCTCTAAGGTTGACAGTTTTATTGTTGTGGATAGAGAGGGTCAGCAGCCTGTCAGCTGTGGTATTATCTTGACTTCAGAGCACTGTGAATATGAGCTTTTCCAACACAGCCAGAGGTCCCTTCATGGTCAGCAATTCAATTCTTACACAGTAGGGTCCCCAGACATAGCTGACATGCTGTCTCTTCCATGAAGCTGTTCATCTCTGATCTCTTCAAAAAGTTATACCTGTGCCATCTGAACTCCCGTGGCACTGTTGTCTTTTCTTTCCATCTTTCCTTCCCTCCTTTTCTCCCATTGGTACTAAGGTAATTATTAAAGGCCCTAGCTATGGAGTGATGGGCACAGGCTCCAGTTCTGCCATTTACTGCATACTCAGGGCCAAATTATTTCTCTCAGTCTCAGTTTTCTCATCTCTAAAATAAGAATGACAAGCAAATAGTTGTAAAAATGAAATGAGATCATTGATATATAGTGCTTAGTCCAAGGCCTAGTACTTTGTAGGAGCTTTAAAAAAATGTTAACTATTATTGGTTTCTATGTCATGCACCAGATGTTTTGCTGGGCAGTGAGAAATGGATACAAAGGTAACTAAGGCACAGACCCTGTCCTTGTTTCTTGAAACTTAGGACAGTTTCTGGAATTCATGGTCCATTTCACTATATTGTGTCATAAACTATTTGAGATGGTAAACATAATCCTAACTCTTTTTCCTCTTGCATTGACCCAGAATTCACCCCTGGGTAGAACTTGACCTTGGTAAGTTGTGGGTGCTCAGAACAGCAGTTTGGGAGGGGAATGAAGACCACTGCATTGTATTCAGTTACTGGAGCCTGTGTAGGGAGGGGAGGGGCAGTAAATTAAAATCACATCCATTCACTCATTTGTTTAAAAGACTTAAGCACCTAGCCTTAGGCTGCAGAGGATTACTAAGACAACTGGGTCCCTTTCATCAAGTTGCTTATAGACTGCTAGTGGAACCCTACAGAAACTGGTGATTGCAAATCACTGTAAAAGCAAGCACAATGAGCTGGGGATATGGCTCAGTGGTGCAGCACCCACCTGGCTAGCTGAAGGTCCTGAGTTTGATTCTTTGTACCACACAAACACACGCACATGCCCAAGACTTTGTGGCACATAAAGGAGAAAGTGGGCAGGAATCAGGAGATTGCTAAGGAACAGTGGGTAAGAATACATACAGGTAAGCATGAAATGGGTTGTGGAAACAATTTATTAAGGAGCTACTATACATACTTGTCACTACTATAGGAATATGGGTTCCATTAGTGAATAAAATGAAGATCTTAACTCGCAGGAAATACTGTTTAACAAGAGAAAGTAGACAGTAAATAATAGACACAAATAAATAGAATTCAGTCAGTAAGATAAGCTATGGGGCAGAGTGACTGGGAATGTACCCCTGGGGTGAGGATAGAAGGTGAAGGGTTAGAAACTTTTAAAAGGATCAAGAAAGTGAATTAGAATTAATTCGTTTTAATGTTTAGCTGCATTTTTGAAAGGCTACTATTTTTCATATTGCATATCAAAATTCTTTAAGAAATGCTTAATATTGTTATGACCATTGTTTTAAATAAAGTTGTGTTGGAACACAGTTACTTTCATTCCTTTATGTCTTGTTTATGCTGCTCTCATGGTACAAACAGAGTTGAATAGTTAGGATAGTGACCCAATGGCCCTAAATATTTACTCTTTTTCAAGAGTGATGTTCTAGGGTGGGTGTGGTGGCACAGGCCTGTCATCTCAGCACGTGGGAGGCGGAGGCAGGAGAATTGCTGCGAGCTCAAAGCCAGCCTTGGCTACATAGTGAGTTCAAGGCCAGCCCTGCATAATGAGACTGTCTCAAAAAACAAAACAAAACAAAACATTAAACCAAAGCAAGCCAAAACAATGGATGTACTCTATATATTTCACATTGGAGAGGATTGTATACAAGGATTGTATACAATTGGAGAGGATTGTATACAATCTTGTACTCTTTTAATTAAAACATTTTTTCTTTCCTATTAAGATCATTTAAAAGATTTTAAAAATTCTCATGTTCTTCACAAACTAGTACATGTCTTCAACAACTATAATAGTACTGAGATTTGTTGAGTGATCAGTGTATGTCACATTACCTGTTGAATGTATTACAGGCATTTTTTCTAATCTAAAGTCATGAGGCTGGAGGTTTAGCTCAGTGGCATAAGCACCTGACTTGCAAGCAGGCAGTCGTGAGTTAGATCCCCGGTACCGATAAAAAGGAAAAAGACCAAAAAAAAAAAAAAAAAAAAACCTAAAAAAAAAGTCTGTGGTGTAGGTAATTGTCTCAATTTGGTAATGAGGGAGTTGAGGCTAAATTAGTTGAATAATTTGCCAAGAGTTATACAGATCATGTCAGTGTTATAATCCTACACTAAATACAATTAGTGCCCATTCTTTCACTCTGTGGCCTTTTTCCAAAAACAATTGCAGCTCTAAAGAAATCACAGCCTTCATGTCTGCCATCAGTGTCTGTCATAGTCTGTGCTTCCTTGTCTTGCCCCTTTATTTCTGTCATTTGGGACAGCATTTCTACCAGCCCACTGTTTTGTTTTGTTTTGAGACAGGGTCTCACTTTGTAGTGCAGGCTGGCCTTGAACTCACTGTATAGTCCAGGTTGACTTCAAACTCAGTGATCCTCCAGCCTCAGCCTCCTGAGTGTTGACATTACAGGTGTGTGCCACCATGCCTGGCTTCCCTTTGCTTCTTGAAATGTTATTATTTCTTCAGGTCCCAGAGGAATTGACATCATGCTTGTCATATCAGAAATATTTTTTTCTTTTTCTCCTTTTCTAATCTTTGGCTGAAGGAGCTAAAAAAGTTTATGCTGCTTGGTAGTCATTTAGGGTCAATTTCATAAGCAGCCCTTGTCCTGGGTACTGTGTATTTAAGATGTGTGTGTGTGTGTGTGTGTGTGTGTAGGGGAGTGTGGTTTGTGTACCTCTGTGTTTATGGATGTGGTATGTGAGAGTATGACTGTGTGTGGTATATATATGGCCATGTATGTTGTATGTGGCTCTATTGGGGGAGAACTGCATGTGACATATGTGATCTGTATGTGCATGGCTGTGTGTATGTGGTTTTGTATGATGTAACTGGGTAGGCGTGTGTGTGGTATGTATGTATAGTATGAGAATGTGGCTGAACGTGTTTGTGGTGTGAGAGTGGCTGTGTATCATGTGACATGGTGTGTGTGTGTGTGTGTGTGTGTGTGTGTGTGTAGCTTTGTATGATATTTGACACTGGGCACAGACCAATCAGGACAGCACAGTTCAGGAGCTGCAGTAGGCTCTGGAGGTCCAGATGGTTACCTTTCAATTGCTAAATTATGGTGAGCTATGGAGAGGTGTGAAATGGCACAACACTGACTAGAACTCAGAGGTGAGCCTTGTAAAGGCAACTAGCAGAGCCTCAAGGGTGAGAGTCTGTTATGTTCATTTTGAAGGCAGGTAAATAGTTTCAGGAAAGATTTTTCAAAATAGATAAAATATAAAGAGTTTTAGTTAACCTATAGTTAGGCAGAAAAATAAAACTCATCCCAAAATGAAAGCTCCTTTACATATACAAGAATTAGAATCCAGACACTGTTTAATGGTATTAAAATGAGTGACATTCAAAGTGGTGGACAAAGTTGGGGTCTTCTTTTTGTTCTGGTGTGTAGCTTTAAATATCTCTGAAAAGTTTCTCACTTGAAAATAATTAGAGGCTAAGTGTTCCAGTTAATTGAGGTTATTCCAGGAGGGAGAAGGTTTACGTCCCTTTGACCAGAATGAAAAATTTCCTGTGGTCTGGCCTGACCCAAGGAATAAAGGTGTTGAACATTTGTGTTCGTTCTCAGGGTTCAGAGATGGGCAGTGAGAAGGAGCAGAGTCAAGAGCCACCCCTGCCTGAGGAAAGGGACAGGGGTAAGCCTTGGAGAGTGGATGGCTCAGAGGGTTCCCGGATCCCAGCTGGGGAAAAGGAGGATGGGCAGGAGAGCCCATTGAAGGGGCCACAAGGAACATGTCCAGAAAAGCCATGGCTGAAAATCATTACCCCCGCAGGAGGGCCAGGGGACCCCACTGCTCATCCAAAGCCCGAGACAGACCAGAAGCCCTTTGTATGTGTCCAGTGTGGCAAAACCTTCAATAATACCTCCAGCCTGAGAACACACCAGCGAATCCACACTGGGGAGAAGCCCTACAAGTGTTCCGAATGTGGCAAGAGCTTCTCAAGAAGCTCCAATCGCATCCGGCATGAGCGGATCCACCTGGAAGAGAAGCACTACCAATGTCCCAAGTGTCAGGAAAGCTTTCGGCGGCGCTCAGACCTTACCATACACCAGCAAGATCACCTGGGCAAGCGGCCATACCGCTGTGACATCTGTGGCAAGAGCTTCAGCCAGAGTGCCACACTGGCTGTGCATCACCGAACCCACCTGGAGCCAGCACCTTACATCTGCTGTGAGTGTGGGAAGAGCTTCAGCAACAGCTCTAGCTTTGGGGTGCACCACCGCACCCATACGGGTGAGAGGCCTTATGAGTGTGCTGAGTGTGGGCGGACCTTCAGCGATATCTCCAACTTTGGAGCACACCAAAGGACCCACAGAGGGGAGAAGCCCTACCGTTGCACCCTGTGCGGGAAACACTTCTCCCGTAGCTCGAATCTCATCCGACACCAGAAAACACACGTGAGCGAGCAGCCTGGGAGAGAGTCCGAATGAAGGGGAGCCCCACTTACAGAGTAGGAAACAGAGTGAAAGAGTCACCCGTAGTAGAGGAACAAGGTCTTCAGGATCTGCTGCTGTCACCTTGACCTTGGGCCCCTCATCCCACTTTAGAGAATGGTTTCCTATTGTCTCTGAAATCAGGATCGCCAGCAAGTCTTTTTTTTTTTTTTTATCGGTACCGGGGATCGAACTCACAACCAAGTGCTTGCAAGGCAGGCCCTTATACCGCTGAGCTAAATCCCCAGCCCCGAGAAAGGACTCTTAAGTAAAAAACCCTTGCCTTCTCCCAGAAAGTTACTTGTTTTGGAAAGTCAGAGAATCCTTATATCATTAAGGCTGTAGTCCTGGTCTTTAAGGAAACACCTGTAAGATGGTGTCACTGTTTGCAGGGCCTCCATGTAGTCTGAACTGCTTAGGGCACACTGCAAAGGCCTGCTGGTTCATGCCTGCAATGCCCCAACCCAAGTGTGCTTCTAGATGTCTAGGCTGAGAAGAGCGGCCCTCCTAATGGGCGATGCTGCCTAGTCTAAGAAGAGGTTTGAGGTCCTGCCTCAGGAGTGAAAGGAAACCCTCAGGGACCCATGACCCAGCGACCTCGCACTCTCCTGTGTTGTTACCTGTCGTCCTTACCCAAACCTGCATCTGTTTTCCTAGAGTGATCAGCAGTAAAACCCTCCAATGAAAAGGACCTGTGTATTTATTTGGGGAAACAGGGAACTGGGGAGTCATTCTAGAAGGTCTAGAAGGAAGATGAGTTCCCAAGACACTCAGGTGGTTGGCTGCTCTGAGTTTCTGAGGCCTTTGAGCAAAAAAGCTTCTGAGGCCTCAGAGGCTTTGAGCAAAAGGAGCAAAGGAAAGGACTGACAGCCACTGAGCATCTATGCTGTGGATTCCGTGATTCTCCTAGTTGCATTTATGTTCTCCATCTTATTGTTGTCATAGCCGTTCCCAAGGGTCTAAGAGGAGGCAGTGGATGTGAGGAAAGATGAAGTCCCACAGCGGGGTGTAGTGGAGCAGTTTAAAGTTGGACCTCCCAGTGGATGCTCTTGTCCCTGAATTCACCTTGTTGGTCTGTGAAGAAGGAGCCACGTAGGGGGCCAGTCTGGAGGTGGGAGCCAGTGTGGTCTCTTGATACAGCCCTGAACATTCACTGTGGGTAGTCTGTACCAAGCATGGGAGCCATCTCAACTTTATTGAGTACTTTTTCTGTGGCTAAGAAAAATGACTGTGGCAGAGAGCAGGGGGTGAGAGATAGGATTGGAGAACTCTCAGGAGCCATAATGAGGGTTTGCCTTTCATACCAATAATTTAGTCCCTAAGACTGGGACAGCGGGGGACCTAGAGAGCTGTAGCCATTTCCTGTCCAGTCTTCGCGTGGAAGATTTAAAAAAAAAAAAAAATTAGCATTAAAGTTTAGCATTAACCCAACTTTGCTCTAATAAATACAAAACACCCTTTCTTACCTTTCTCATTAGTCTAGGGTAGTGATGGCAACCTTTTAATGATAAACAGCCTGCTGTAACACATATGCTGTCGCTACCACTGGTCTGGGGGCTTGGCTTTCATAATGTGGGGCCCTCTTCATTTGAAACCAATTCATAGAATATGAACTAATCATGCCCACAACCTGACCTGTTAGATGGGTGTCCAGCCACTTATTCAGGAAGGGAGGTACCAAGAGCTTTCACTCGTATCGCATTGAATTTTAACGACTACCTGAAAAGAACTGTCTGTACTTGACATTTGTGGAAAGAAGCTGAAAGGAAGTGACTTGCTCATGAAAACAGAGCAAGTAAGTGACAGGGCCTGAAACTGAACCCACTTCTACCCAAAGGTCATTTGTGTTTTTTTTTTTTAACTGCAAGACTCCTTCCCAAGTGATTGTCTTACATTTGTAGGGCACTTTATAGTTTACAAAGCACTTTTATTTTATACACATTTTCTTGTTCCTTGAAATTTTCCACATAATATTTTAAATGTAATAACCTAACCGAAAACATGTTAATTGACACACATTCCAATAATAAAGGCCACATTTCTCAAATGCCTCCTGGTGCTAGTTATTACATACCTACTATCTCTGATCTTCGTATTATTCTCTGAGGTAGTAGTGTCCCCACTTTAAGTATAAGGTTCTTTGAAGATACATTACCTGACTTATAGAGCTGGATTTAAATAAGAATGTCTGCAAGACCAAGGTCTTCATTATGCCCGCTGTCAAGTCTGGTCTACTGGACCTCCCCCGGTCCTTCCAAACTTAGAACCCTCCAGAAAGCTGCTATTGCTTTAAAGGAGTTTCTGCTGCCCTTCAGGCCCAGGATGAATGTTGTTAGGGCCCTGCTTTGATCGTGGGACAAAACTCCCTGGCCAATCTCATATAACCTTTTTAGACCTAGCTTATAGGGTAGGGTTTCTATATTTGACTATTTTATTAATTTATTTAAATTTAGAGATAGGGTCTTGCTATTTGAGGCCAGTCTGGCCTCAAACTTGCAGTCATCCTCCTGCCTCAGCCTCCTGAATGCTGGGATTACAGATGTGCACCACCACACCTGGCTCGACAATGTTTTTTTGAGTCCCGATTTGCCCATTTATTCATTCTCTGACTTCCTTCCATGTTAACTTCTTTTATGTTTCCCATTTTTTCTTTTCCACCTTTTCCCCCCTTCCCTTCTCTTCTGTTCTTACTTCAACCCTTCCTCCCTTTTCCACCCAGTCACTAGAAAAATGGACAATGAAGCTAATGTCACCCTGTGTTCTTTATGCATTAAACTGACAAATTGCAATGCAGTGAGAGATGACGTTACATTTGTGCCAGGGTTCTGAGGGGACCTAGGGGAGAGCTTCATCTGGCCTGTACTGGTTGGGCCAGGAGTGAACATGACGTAGTCTTTGCAAAGAAGTCAGAAAGAGAAATTCCTTTGCACAAAGAGCTGGGGGATCTCGAGTGTGAGTAGCAAGCTCTTCTGAAGGGATTCTTGAAAACGAGTAGGTGTTCACTAGGTAAAAAGGAAGTGGAAGGTATTTAAATGGTGTTTAGAGAATAGTGCAATATTTGATGTAGTTAAGAGTGTGCTGTGTCAGAAGATGAGAGAGGTAAGGTAGACAGGACAGATCCTAAAGGGTGTGGATGGCAGGTAAAATTTGGCTTGTGGGCAACTAAAGTTTAAAGTAGGGGAATGACAGAATGCCATTCACTTGTTAAACAGTATAGTGTAAAGGATGAATTTAGAGGGGCCGAGTGACTTGGACAATGCTGTGTGTGCACACTGGATGCCAGCGGGGTCGTGGGGTCGACGGGGTTTTGTATGATCATCTTGGAGTTGTCACTTCCACAAGATAGAAATTCAAACCCCCTGTGTAATTTATGCAGATTTATGACCTCAGGGATTCTTCTTGCCTCAAGTTCCTGGGATCTGCTCAAGCCTTCTCTGTTTTGTCTCCATTGTCTCTGTCACAGAATCAGAGCTTTAAACATTAAATCAAACTAAGCATTTTGTAAATTTAGACTCCTTTCTAGAGATTGGGATTCATGTCATGACATGTCCCTGACTTTGTCTTCTCTTTCCTCCCATTTCTGCCCTCATCTCTCTCTCCTGGATTGCATGACAAGACCGATGCGTTTTACTACAGGTGTCTTACTGTCATCAAAGATAAATCTTTCCTTCATGTTTTATCGTTTCCAAAGTTGGAATGCACTTTAATACTGATAATATTTTAGATGAAATCACATCATAAGATATGAGGTAATGGTATCAGCAAGATAGACTATGAGATCTCAGCCCCTATTCCCAGAGAGACAACTTCAACAGTGCATAACCCCAGTGCTCACACATACAACATACATATATATATATATATCCCCAAATACCTTCCAGATACCTTAAGGAGTTTCAGGACCTCAGGCGATCACAGAGCCAATAAGAACCACATTGAAATGGTTAAGAAGTCTACCTAAGACTACCCTTCCCCTAAGCTGACACAACTCACCTTGGAACCTAGGTGAACAGACTATGCATCCAGTATTCTGGTTTTCCAGAGGACTGCCCAAGGAACTGGGGCCTAACTTAGAAGACTAATGGAAACAGAATGATATGAGTACATGGGGAGGCACGGAAAGCCCGCCTGTGGAGCAACTTGCATTATTACAAGGGCCTGTGATACAGTAGTACACAGGCCATGACACTCAGCATGACTGGGCAAGGCTCCAACTGCAGCTTCTCCCTTGGGAGCGAGGGAAAGAGGGAGTGAGGGGAGGAGAGCACATGTTCAGTATTCTACCTTTCTTTGGTTTGTTTATTTTTAGAGAGTTGCCCAGGGAACTGGTATATGTTTTGTTTGATTAGGGATACTAACAGGAAGTAAGCATAATTTGAATTTCCAGGGGCCATTGCACACAGGTAAGCTTATGGGTTAGTACCAGAGAAACTGCAGTACTACAGACGGACACCAGAGGGAGCAGGAAATTGTGAGCGCCCAAGAAAGAAGCTGGCAACTTCAGGAAATTAAAAGCAAAGCCTAGAGAAGTCACATCCCCACAGAAAGATCCAGAGACTCTCAAACTACCCTCTGAATCTAGTTGGGGTGATTACTGAAGATCTGTGTAAAGCTTTGTGTTAAAAGTCAGAAAAATGATGCATGACAAAAATGAAAATATCAACAGACCAACTATATAAAAAATAAGTCGACTTATAAAGGCCTTATTCCTATCCCTGTGCTTATATAAATTATAGATATAATTTGAAGTCCCTTATAGACTTATCTCCATCCCATTTTCCCTCCTTTCCAAGCTAACTACTGTCCAAATTTTTTACGTGTGATTCTGCAAAAAACAAATTCTGAAATAGAAAAATGCAATAATTGAAAAATTCACTAGAAGGTTTCAGCAACAGAATTGATTAAGCAAAATAATCAGTAAACTCAAATTCAGGTAATTTGAAATTATTGGGTCAGGGACTAAAAGTAAAAAAAATAAAAAAATTCTAAGGGATGCATGGAACACTATCAAGTGGATCAGTATATGTATTATGGGACTTAATAATGAGGAAAGACAGGAAAGGGGCAGAGAGCTTATTTGAAGAAATAATGGTCTAAAACTGCAAATCTGAGGATGGAAATGAATATCCTAATAAAAGAAGCTCAGAGAACTCTTAAGGTGAGCAAAAGAGATCCACACGAAGAAACATTGCATTCAAAATGTTAACAGTGACAAAGAATCTTTAAAGCTGCATGAGGATAGCAAGTTATCACATAAGGGAGTTTCCATAAGTTTATCAGGGAATTTCTCAGCAGAAACTTTATAATTCAGCAAAGAGTGTGATGATAATTTCAAAATTTGTTGAGGGGGGAACCTCAAAAGAACAAAAATTTAAAAACTGCTGAACAAGAATACTATACCTAGCAGACCTCCTTTAAAAATGGAAAAGGTAAAGGAAACTGAGGGAATTAACCACAACTAGAGTTGACTTACAAGAAATATTAAAAAAAGATACTGAAACTGGATACTCAAATTGAAACAGAAAGATTAAAACAGGAATACAAAGCATACAAAACTGCATTCCACTGGTAGATATATAGCCAAAGAAAACTGTAATCTTATAATGGCAGTATGTAAATTCTGGTGTGTGGTATGTATGGTGATGGTATATAACTCGTGTAGAACTTAAAATAGAAAAGAATTAGAAGTAATTATAAAAAAGAATTAGAAGTAACATAAAACTAATGCATATAAAATACAAAAAGATGTATTTTTTAACATTGTAAAGATTACAGTATTGTACTTGATTGAAGTAGTTATGAGCTTAAAACATAACTGTGAGAGATTTTATATAGAGCTCCTGATAACCACAAGGAAAGTGTCTAGAGAAGATGCACAGGCTGTGGGCTGGGGATGTGGCTCAGTGGCACAGCACCTGCCTGGCAAGCACAAGGTCCTGAGTTCAATTCCCAGTACCAAAAAAAAAAGGAGCTTGTAAGGCATGAGTACACAGAACAACCAAAAGGAGAAAAGGCTGGAAATCACTAGAAGAGGCACAGGAGAAGATGGAAAAACAGGGTAAGCATGTCAACACACATGCAAAATCAACAAAAGCAGTAAGATACAAAAACGAATAAAAGTACCATAAGACTGAAAAAAAATGACAACAGCAAGGCCTTCACTATCAAAAGTTATTTTAAATGTAAATTTAATTTCTGCAATCATAAAACAGTGTGGCCTGGTGTGGTGGCACATGCCTGTAATCTCGGACTCAGGAGGCTGAGGCAGGAGGGTCGTAGTGAGTTCAAGACCAGTCTGGGCTACAAAGTGAGCTCAAGGTCAGTTTGAACTGCTTAGTGAGATCCTGTCTCAAAAAACAAAACAAACAAAAAAACCACCACCAACAAAAAAATCCAGTGTGACCAGTTGGGTATTAAAAAAAAAAAAATCAAGATTTCTAGTTACTAGTTCTATGTGTAAAGATCTTGGAAGTCCAGTCCTAACAACAAGTAAAAGCTGAACAGATGAAAAAAAATCAACATCTTTTCTCAAATCCATTAGTGAAGTAGGGTAAATTATTGAAGAAACATAGTCAGTACAGAAAATCTTAGCATATTGGAATGGAAACTTCTGTGGGAACCAATGCCTGCATAGGGAAACCTAAACTATAATTGATTCAGTTTTGGAAGGTAGACGTGGGCAAGTCTAACAGTTAAAAACCCCAGGGAATCCTTGTTATATGGGGGACTCCTACACATTTGTGGGCCTAACCTACAGGAGCCTGACCAGGTTCTCACAGTAAATATTGGGAAAACCTCCTTCATTTCCATGAAGGAGGGAAAAGAAACCCAGTTAGCCAGACCCTTACTTGATGGGTTTCTTTCAGAGCCTAGTTGATATTAAAAGAAAGGACATATCCAACCCTAGCTCTTCAACACTTAACTCTAAGGAACAAGAAGTTTTCCTACTGAGATCAGAAACTATTCAAGAATTTCCTCTTTTAGTACACTTTGTCAAAAGTATACTAATTTAGTAAGACAAGAAAGTGAAATAAAGTTTACTTACTA